TTTCTCTCAGCAACTGGTTGAGCTGGAACAAATTTGAACTACTTTATGTTCAGCTGGTTAGAGTTATGGTATACGCCGATCAACCATGACATTATGACAAACTGCCTGATATTGTGTAGGTCCCCCTTTTGACGCCAAAACAGCCCTGACCCATCAAGGCACAGTGTTTGCTGACACCTTTCTATCAGAACCAGAAAGAACATTTCCAGTAATCTGTAGCTCCAGTAGCTCTTTTGTTGATTCAGACCACACGGGCCAGCCTTTGCTCCCCTCGTGCATCCATGAGTCTTGGCTGGCCATGTCACCGGTTCACCTGTTTTCATTTCTTTGACCACCTTTTGGTAAGTCCTGACTACTGCAGACCACAAACTGCCCCCACAAGAGCTGCAGTTTTGGAGATGCTCTGACTCAGTCTTCTAGCCATCACAGTTAGGCCCTTGTCAAAGTCGCTTACATTCTTTCCTTGGCCCATTTTTGCTGCTTCCAACACATCAACTTTGAGGACAAAATGTTCACTTGCTGCCTAACATATCCCACCTACTGACGGGTGCTGTTGTAAAGAGATAATCAATGGTGTTCACTTTAGCTGTCAGGAGTCATTATGTCATGGCTGATTAGTGTATATTACCTTTAAGGCGATCACGTTCAATCCCTCCAACACTTTAGTCTTAGTAAGTGTAACTCCATCAACCCGTCCACCCCTCTTCTTCCGAGTCCCGGTGACAGAAGGCTAACCAAGTCCTTCTCCACCACAGTGTTTGCCAGCTCCTCCTAGGGGATCCCAAATGGTCCCAGGCCAGATGAGATATAATATACCTCTGGCCAGCTCTGGGCCTGCCTCAGGGTCCCAGTTTGACTTGCCCAGAAAACCTCCAAAGGGAGGCACTCAGGAGGCAACCTAATAACTATCTGAACACACACTATGCTTCCTTACGATCTAAGAATGGTTATCTGAGTGCAGGGGGTTGTATGTCCCAGAGACCCTGGGAGTGCTGTTGTAGGAGGCAATAACCCTTAATAGGGTCTCCTAAGGCCACATGCAGGGAGCGAGGTGGAGGTAGGGCACAGCCATGTTGGACAGCATCATGCTTTATCAACAGCATCCCACACTGGATTGTAACTTACCTTTTAAAAGAGTTATATTTGAATCTCTCTGGTTGCTTTATAAGGTCTGAAAAGATAATACTGATGACATCAACTGGAAATGATTGGATGATGTCATCAGGGTCCTTTATTTAAGCTTTATAGAGCCAAAAAATGCAGTTCCAATCTTGTTAAAGTTTACTTTTTGGGACAACATGACCTTAAATCTCTTGGGGAGGGGGGGGGGGGGGGGCTCAGGGGTAGAAAGGGTCTTTACTTATTTAAAAGAGCAGCAGTTTGATTCCCTGCTCCTGAATTCTGCATGTTCACGTGTCATCGGGAAAGTTACCTGCAATGAGATCAGGTCCTGATGAGCAAGTTGGCACCTTTCACTGCAGCTGCCAACAGTTGAATAAATACGAGTGTGAAAGGGTTAATTTGACATGTAGATTAAAACACGTTGAGGGGATGGCAGACTAAAAAGGTGCTTTATAAAACTATAATGTAAGTGCAGTGCATTAACATAAGCAAACTGTTTCTCACGTTAAGGTAGTTTATATGTGTGCATGTGGGCCTGCGCGATGATTTTACTTGAAAATGTCCTGTGTACATTATTTGGCCTGACTAATAAATCTTAGAGCATTACATAGAAGTATGAGAAGTTTAAATTAAGGATTTCTCATTGATACCGGTTTTACTAAATGTGCTTGGGAGCCATTAAAATTGATTGCAGGTGTGTTTCACTGTGACAACACCTGTTGACAAGGTGATTTTTAAATACTTTAACCAAGTAATACTTTTTTTAAAAAGATGGATTTTATGGCTTTTTTTTCAGAGATAGGACAATAGAGTCAGAAACCGGGGAGAGAGAGGGGGGGGATGTCAGGTCGGATTTGAACCAGGGCCACCTGCTCGAGGAGCCTCAGTACATGGGGCGTGAGCACTAATTGCTAGGCTACCAGTGATATAATTTTACCTCCTAAAGGAAATTGATGGCAAAAGGAAAATATGCCTTCAAGTCCCTTTGAAAACCTGATTTTTTTCTCCTTACAGTTAAACTTACACATCAGTGCTTATACTACTAAACTACCAAAACCTTTTTTGTAAGCTGACTTTTTAGTATTATATATTAGGACTCGATTACGCAAACACTTCTTTGGTTATCTTGTCATTTATCTTTACTTTTCTCTTCTTGTCTTTACACCATTTACTATTCATAGCTTCTGTGAGTACTACAGTACAGTATGATACAGGTGTGAATGTGTGTGTGTGTGTGTGTGTGTGTGTGTGTGTGTCGGGTTGTTTTGCATTCATGTGTCTGCATCGTATAAAGGGATTCTATCAAAAGAAAAGCTTTCTGGAGCTCAACACAGAAACTGGGCTCAGAGTCAAAACAGGCTCAAAGATTCTACACACCCCTTACAGTGTGTGTGTGTGTGTGTGTGTGTGTGCCCACAGACACGCACTGTACATCCTACTGTCTTCCTGGAGATAGGGGGGGGAGGGGTTGCAGCTTGTTGCACTGAGTGGGTGTGGTGGAGAGGGTGGGCGGATACGCACAGTGTCACACATCAAACTCCTCGCAGGCCAGAGGAGTTCAGAGGACGATGTGTAACAGAATAATCCGGCACAGACTCAGCAACCAACAACTTAGCATGCGAGAGAGGGCGAGCAGATGAAAAACAGCGAGAACCACGCGGAGGCTTGCCAACCACTTTTTGGAACAGGCAGCAGCTTCTTCTTCCTCTTGTTTCTGTTTCGGGGCAGCCTGTCAGTGAGGCTGTTAAAACATTGAGCAACAGTTGGATGAACAGAAACCTGCTGTGTATATTGTTCTACTGTGATTGCATGAAATTCCCCTCTAATTGCTCTTGTTCCTCAGTGCAGGCCAACGACTGATATTGAGAACATCTGAGAGCTTTCAGCCTGTGTGTGTGTGTGTATGTGTGTGTGTGTGTGTGTGTGTGTGTGTGTGTGTGTGTGTGAGAGTGTGAGTGTGAGAGTGCTAAGTTGGAGGACAGCCTGGAAAATGAGGCTGTGATATTTGACAGGTTGGACGGCTGATTGGAGCCTTCACCTGTGTATGTGTGTGTGTGTGACTTCACATAGGTAATGGAGATTTTAACAGAGTTTTAAAGCTGTCATCTGTAGGCTGGATGTGAGGCCTTCACTACAAAAATAGAACCCTAGAAGAGAGGTGGGGATCATCGTCCCTGACAGAAAGGTTAATAAGACACCAGCAGCAAAGAAATACTGTAGTGACCAGCTCAGTATGATGAGCAGTCTCAATGCATTGACTTTTATTCATACAGATAGGTCTGCCCTCATGTTCCAAAGTCCCTGAGAGTGTTTACATTTGTCTTTAAATATTTATGTACATTTAAGGCTTTAATTTTATACATCTTATGTTACCTGTAATTGTTTTAACTTGAAGTCAGAATAAACCTCCAGCTTTATGATTTTAACGGCCTTTAATGGATCAATCGTTCTTATATGTCATCTCAGTGTCTGTAAATGTATTCCATAACTGTCTCGATATCATTGTAAACGAAGGTCGCCCCTCAATGATGTCTTGAGTATATACGAAGGTTGATCATTTGGTTGTCTTAAGTGACTGAGCAACTTAAGTTTGTTAGTTGTTAACTTCATACACAAATGACTCACTAAACTTTTGTCTTTTAGGAACTAATAAAAATGCATGTCCATGTCACCGCTGTGTAGTTAAAACGGCGCCGGTGGCCGAGTGGTTGGTGCATGTGCCCCGTGTACAGAAGATGTAGTCCTCAAAGTGGGAGGCCCGGGTTCAAATCCGACTTGTAGTTCTTTTCCCACGTCATTCCCCACTCTCTCTCTTTCCAACCCTATCCACTGTCCTCTTCAATACAAATCCCCAAAATAAATACAAAAAACAAAACTATGTTTAACATGAGTGATGTATGAACGCACAAAGTAAAGGAGCTAAACTGTAACAGGCGTGTGTAGCTATGATGTAAGAGCTATTCATTCTACACAAGTGAAGTTGTGATACAACACTGTCTAAAATAAATGAATGATTGAATAAAAGAATTTCTGATAAGCAGCAATTGTAAAATATTAAAATGATTTCATGCTTTTAAAAGACTCACATTTAAAATGTGATTATAGTAAAAGTAGCATTATCACAGGGTGAATGTACGAAAATATTGGAAAAAGTCACTGTACAAATACACTCATGTGAGCCTCCTTCTCTTTAATTCTAAGATAAACACAGATGTCATTGTAGGTTAAATTCCCCTGTACTTAAAACCCAAAAACAAAGACTAAGTGGTAAAACGACACATAGCTTGGAGCGGGATAAAAAGGAGTAAAGCTACAATCATCAGTTCTGCTCTCAGATTTACATTCCTGTCCCTTCATTTGTGTTCCCACCAGCACAGAATCAAGAAGTCAGGATTATACTGCCCTCTAGTGGGCTGTAAGTGTTGATACTGTGGCCACAAAGAATTCTCAAATGTAAGATTTTTATAATTGATCATTTTTTCATAAATAGCTTAAATATTGGGGGGGGGGGGGGGTAGTTGTGCAAATGTATATTTATACTTGGACTGTAGACACTCAGTTAATTGTGTAAATGCAACAATACTTGTTTTTATCAGATGTTGTATCCATGTATCTATCCATGTCCCTATGTATACATTGATCACGGTCAATGTATCATCTTTCCATATATCTATCCATCTATGTACCTATCCATGTACTGTATCTTTTTATCCATCTATTAAATCAGAGCTACGCTGCTTATTAGGAGTGCATTTGAAATGCTTAGGGGGTAATACATTGTTTAATGGTTGTTTAAATAGAATCTACAAAAAGTACATTTTCTATTTGAATTGAATAGTTTCATAAAGACACCAACAAAAGAAAAAAAAAAGACATTCTGATATCCAACTTTCCTGGTTTATTTCTCTAACATTTCTTTATATCACAAAAAGTCTTCAAAATGCAGACTAGGATCTTTATATAAACTGTACACAAAGCAAGGCACTATACACTGAAGGATTTTTAAAATCACATACAGTTCATCACAACTCTATCTTGACCTTTTACAGAGCATCCCCTCTCCTATCTGAAACAATAACGACACTACATTCAGAAGAAGCTGCATCATTACATGTGTAAATGGCAAACGGTGAACTGTACAGCGAAAGAGAGGAAGTCTGTGATGTCCAGTTTATCTCCAAGTATGACACACAACCTCCTCCACATGAATTTACACATGATTTATTCATTTCTAGCTCAGTGAATATTCAGGGAGCTTTTCTTATTTGAACTCCTATGTGGATCTGATATAAATATAAATTATTATTTGAATGCACAAGCATAGATGTAGAGTGTGTTCAACAGGCTGACCGGCCTGCTCTCCCACTCTGACAGATTGGCTGACAATGTGACAGCGCTGTCTGTCCTGCGTATGGTACATATGTACAAACATTAACAAGAGTGTGACCGTACAGACAAACTATTAACACTTTCATTCAGAGGTGCATCCGCTTCTACTAATCTCCCACTTATAAAAACCAATATACCAACACGAGAACAGATGGAAAGGAAATCTGCTGCACAAACATGCTGCTGCACCTCTCTCATTCACCAATCACCTTCTCCACACCTCCTTTACTCCTCCCCTTTTCATCCTCATCCCTCCACTAAAGAGCAAACTCAGGATAGGCCGCCCCTGAGGCTCTGGACGTAAACAAAAGAGAAGACAAAACAACCTCCTGGTGGCTTTTTTTTTTCTCTCCTTCCTGGTCTCTTCAGTTCAGCTCTCTGTTAGAAAAGTCCTTTGGCTTTCTTCAACTTCACCTGCTTCCAGGCGGGCAAACCCCCATACTCCTCTCTGCTCATCTCCAGGGCTTTCTGTGTGAGAGACATCATTCACACAGTCAGGTTAAAGTAGCCACGATCACATCATCAACTATTCCAAAAACTGTTCAGAACTTCAAACCGATAAATCCTGAATCTGGCACGGCGAGGGATGGCAGAAAAAAAGTCATGCATCAGTGAAAATCACAACACAGACGTGTTGTAGTACCCAAATCCGGCTTGGTCCCAAGACCGGTCTCAAGACCACTTTTTGGAGGTCTCAGTCTCGGACTGGATGGACTCCAGATTTTAAATCAAGACCGGTCAAGACCACCACCACTGAGACCACCACTGAAAGGCTTCTTTCATCCGTCATTACTCTGATTCGAAGAAAGCTAGCCTTTTTCTAAAAGAATAAATAACTTCAATTCATTTGTAGTTTGATTTCAATTCCCCGGTTACAGCCCCAGTGAATGACTTATGGTCTTGGTCTTGTCTCGGTCACGCCCTGCCTTGGTCTTAGTCTTGACTCGGTCTCGATCCCTAAATGTCTTGGTCTTGTCTCGGTCTCCGAGCATGCTGTCTCGGTGCTTCTTTCTTCAGTTCACACCTCCTGTAAAGTTTGAAGTGAACTCGTGTGTCCACATCAGCTTGGAGATTATGAGTGAACAACATGCTGAACACATAATAATAATAATAATAATAATAATAATAATAATACATTTGTAAAGCACTTTTCAAGAACTCAGACGCTGTGCATTGGTAAAAATGATGAAGAAAACAAAGTAAGAACAAACATAGCAACATACACACACTCATAAGTAACAACATATAAACCACACATTAAAAGAACACACAGCACTATCACACATTAAAGCCTGTTTAAAAAGCTGAGTCTTTTGTGTGGTGGAGAAAAAAGGTTGGCATTGGAAGATGGGAGGCTACGGGAAGGAGATCAGTGAGGTACAGTAAGGAGGGGCTCGGCGGTTGAGGGCTTTGTGTGTAAGATGATTCATCAGAGAGGATATTAAATCAGTGATTAGATAGAGTGCATGGAGAAAAACAGATTATGTTAGAAAGTGGAGTGAGGATGCTGTGCAACCAGAGCACAAGTCCAAGACCGTCCATGCTCAAGTCAGAGGACTCACCTTCCCATAAGCCCCTACACTCTGCAGGGTGGAGGAATCAAAGAGTTGAGTTAGGAAAAGACAAGAAGATGGAAGTAAAACATGATGAAAGACAAACTTTGGAAAGAAAGTGGAAACATAAAATTGACTGTCACAACATTAAATCAGAGTCAGAGACTGATTTGGCAACTCTGTCAGACAAAGTGAGTAAAAAAAAAAAAAGAAAGAGAGAAAAAGACTTCAGTCTGAATAAAACAGTATGTCAGACATTAGTTCTTCTAATTCTGGCTAATTAACTGTGTGACAATCAGAGAGTATTCTTTTTTTGTTTTTGGGCTTTTCGCCTTTATTGGACAGGACAGTGGAGAGAGTAGAAAACCAGGGGAAAAGAGAGAGAGTGAAAATGGCAAGCAGGAAAGGAGCAACAGGCCAGACTTGAACCCGATCCACGTCTGCTTGGAGGACCATACCTAACTGGTAAGCCATCTCTTTAAAGCAATAGTTTTGTCATTCGAAGGTGCAGCACTCCATTGCAGATGCTCACCTCAAAGTCCTCATCAGACAGGTAGACCTCCAGGCGAAGAGGGTCCACTCCCTCTGGCAGCGGTCGGGCCAAAAGATCTGACAGGGGGTACATGGTCTTACACAGCCGAGCCAACACGTCCTCGACCAGGATAATCTGGTTACACACCTCTGCCTCCTGACAACACACGGACATATACAACATAAAATGTCAGCTAATGACTCTGCTAGAGAGTAAGATAGCATATAACAAATTAGATAAGGAGAATCCCTAAGGGGTGATAAGCTAACACCTGGACTGGTCTGTTTTGTTTCCAGAAAAGAAGTCCTATTCTTGCTCAGTGAGTGCATGCTTTTCCAAACAGTGTATTCACTAATGGCTACAGACAAGCTGTGTCAGTAATATTGGTTCATATCAGATGATGTGGCTGCAAGTAATGAGTTAACGTGATTAGCTGCACACACCCTCTCCGTGATCTCAGCGATGTCCTCTCGGTGCTCCCAGCTGGGGAACATGTTGGTGAAGGTGAGCGGCTCCAGACCGGCGTGGATCAGGTACGCTTTGGGAGGCTTCTTCTCGTTCTTTTCTGTGGAAACAAAACAGAAACGAGACTGTTGAACCCTAACAAACCTTATCAAATGTCATGGGTTATCTTAGTGTTCTCCACTGAGAGCAGCGACGACTAGATTCGTGTTTTAACATGCAAATAATGAATAGACATACCTCTACAGTACTGCAGCACAGTCTCCATGGCACACTTCCTGTCTGAGTCCCAGCGCATCCTGGCCGAGCCGGTGCTTTCACTGTCCTGAGGCCACCAGCCCTGCCACAGATACACTTCATGGTGGTTGTCCACCAGGAACAGGGCTAGAGGTAAGATGAAGACACAGGACATCTTCAGCATTTATTTATTTTTCATTAATGACCGGGAGTTGACTTCAGGTCTAAGCCGACCTTACACTCAAAAAGTTTTCATTAAACTTTGATGTTGTCGACAGTTGAAGCCTGATGACATGATAGAGCTCATAAAAGTGAAACCCAAACCTTTGGAGCTCCCCCTACTGACTGGCTGCAGCATAGTTCATATATCCTCCTTCTTCCATGTTAACAGTTGGGACAAAGATCAAGCTTAAGGGTTAAAATCTTAATACATGTCAAATACCTTTTTCTTAAACATTTCTTCCACTATAGCTGGTCTTGATTTATGTCCAAGTGTTGTTTCTGGGAAGTTTACATTCAGTGTGTTACTTGATGCTATAAAAAGGGAGGTTGATTGACAGCTCTGTTGACATATGAGGCCCCTTTACTGAACTATCCATAACTAGGAGTGACTGCTTCGGTGCATGTTGCAGGTCTGTGGTTGGTATAAACTCATTTCAGTGTTGCTGATATTGATAAATGACTCTGACTGATGGAGTTGTGTACCTGGCTGTGAAGCTGCATAGAGGTCCTCCTGCAGGAAAGGCATGGAGTTGACCTTTTTGGGTTCTCTGGCAGGATAAAGAAACTCTACAGCTGAAAACTCCCCCGAGCTGCTGCTCAGCTGGTACAGACGAGGTGTGAAGTTAAATCTTCCCGGGTCTATCAAACAACACAAAAGGACACTAGTTAGTAACACGGCCCACAGCCCTTTTAACGTTAATTAAACAGCTTTCATCGGACTTCAGGTTACATGGACTTTGGTTTCCTAACCTTGCAGCATGCAGTCATACACTTTCCGGTCTCTCCTCCCAAGTGGTTCCCAGAATCCCGCGGGCTCCGTTCCCTCGTCAAATTCCCGGATGGTAACCTTGCTGCTGCTGTGGAGGCCTGCTTCCAGAGGACAACTGCAAACAAACAAGTCACACTGAGTAATGGTCCAAGCTCTCATATGCATGACTCAGTGCTTAAAGACGTGTGAAAGACAAAGTAGAACTAAGCGAGACATTTTCCAAGATTCATCAGAAAGCTTTCAGGAGCTGCTTTGCTTATTTGTCCGGACAAAAATCCCTCTGCTTTGAATTTTTCTTTTGACCCTTTAAAAAAAGGAAAAAAATAATCTTCCACTCACTGCTCTTTGATTTTGTTGGCGGCCGTGCGTGCCACCTCCTTTGAGTGTGCCTGAGTTTTGCAGCCGTGCCACAGGTAGATGAGAGCCTGGCTGACGCTCAGCAGCACCATGGAGACCCTGGAGCGCAGGCTGCTGCAGTGACAGGCCACCTCCAGCAGGTGGCCCTCCACCTCCACCTCTCCACGCACGCAATACAGGCGCCAGTCATCTAGTGGGAACAGAGACGAAGTGAGAGGTGAGGATGATGAGAGTAAACAATTCAGACACAAAGAAGAGGGATGTTTTTCCACATATAGCCTAAATAACAACAGCTCAGTCATTTGAGGTCGTGAAGAGTTTAGCTCTATTGTTTACCACACAATATGTTTTCTATTCTTAATCAGCAATTCTTTTCTTTAAGCTCAACACAGTTGCCAAAGTAATGATTCACTCATTATGTCTGATGATGATGACAGGTTTGTGTGACTGCTGCAGAAAATATTTTGTAATTGTCAGGACTCAAGAGGGATTCAGGGAACAAAAATCCTTTAACAGACAATTTGCTGATTTAGCCTGTGCAGAAAATGAGCATTAGAGAACAAACCGTGTGTTTGCGTTATCTGTGTTTGTGCTGATAGACCGCTTTTATTTTTAAGACGGTGATTTGTGCTTACTTTGCAAGTTCTCCTCCTCCTCTTCCCTCCTCCCTGAGTGGACGACCATCCCTCCTTTGAAGCACTGCAGGAAACACGGAGGCTCTTTACCCTGCAGGACCTGAACCTGGAGGAAACAAACGAAAGGAAACACAAGATGTGAAGCTCACACGACCATACTGTACGTGCAACACGCCGACTGACAGATAAATATCATAGCATTCTGACACAATCTTTACATTACCTGTGCTCCCCGCTCCTCGTCCAGCTCCACTGTCATCAGTGCGGATGTTCCTTTCTCGCTGACGGTGGAGTTGCGGCCCTGCCAAAAGAAGTAGCAGCACTTCTCCTTCCCGGGCCCCGCTGTCTTCTGCTGCTCTGGGTTCTGTCTCCTTCCAACTGAAGATAAGAGATAAGAAGGTCATGGATTTTTTTTTTTTTGCATTTATGACTGCTTTTGAAATTCTTTTTTTTGAATCCCAAGTAACACTCTTCATCCTTTAGGAGCTTTATTTGTGTAAAGGCATCAGCACAAACACAAGGCACAACAGGTCAGACAACAAGGGTAGAGTGCAAACAACCTTGTCTTCACACAGTGCTGCATATTGAAAAAGTTGTCATAGTGTGCTTGGTGTTGAATATGAATGACCTGTAACTACTGACTGTGAGTGGCTGCATTGGTTGTGTAGTGTGTATGAGGTATGCAAGACTATGTATTCCTCTCACTGGAGTCCGTCTACTGAAAACACTTCCAGTGGTTACAGGTCTGGTTGAATAATTTAGGTACTCATTGTTAATCATTCATCTTCATGAGAGGGTGAAGATGCATTCAACTCAGAGCACCAAAGAACTCAACTCAGAGACTGCAATGTTGAAGGTGTTGATGGACTCATTAAAGGAATAGGATATAGCTACATATTGATAGGACTGCAAATACAGAGGACTGACGTCATAATCCAGTGGTTCCCAACTTTTTTTTGGCTGCTTTCACAGTCATGTCAATGGTAACGAGTCTGAGAGCACTGGTAGAAAGAATATTTTTTACCCACATTAAGACAATAAGTGATGTTATTCCTCGCTTTTAGATTATTGTAAAAAACAAGATTAAGATTAACTCTTTCTCATTAACTACTAAAACACAGTATGTATTTGTATCGAAGAAGGAAACACGTGTCACAAATTAAAAAAAGTTTGATGACATTTCTCTTCAGGGGATACCTACCTGCAGCGCTGACCATGTACTTCCACTTCATCACGTATGTGTCCCCCTCATGAAACTGACCGATGCTTTGCCGCGGCAGGCGGCTGTAGTCGAACTCCAGGATGTGCCAAACCTCCACCCCCAGGGTGCTGATCTCATAGCTCCTCCAGTCCTCTGCCTCCACCAGGCCGTAGCCCCGCCCCACGTTGAACCCGTCCAGTTTGGTGCAGATGGGCCCCTGAGGGAGGGGCAGCATCAGGGAGGCATCCAACGCATGTGGCTGTTCAGAGGCAGACTGCTCCTGTGAGAGATCCAGACAAAGAGGAGAAATAAGAGTGATGTAAGAGAGTGAAAGTGTGCACTCTATGCAGTACATTAGGAACTTTTTGTTACCTTCTGATCAGTGACTTGATCGTTGGAGTTTCTTGTAGGACTGGGTGTTTTCCTGGAGTCGCTCCAGTCCAGGAACTTCTCTTTGAACAAAGTGGTTTCATTGTGTTGTGTCAGTCTGCCAAACACGGCCCAGTCAGGTCGGCCCTGACCTTTTCTACAGGTGAGAGGATACATTACGTCAATGACAGGATACCAGGGCTCCAGGTACTAGAATGTCGTCACTACACTGGTGTAGATATAAGCACTCAGCTCCTCATGAGTGATATCAAGAGGATATAGACCATTGGGAGAGAAGCACATCATTTAAACTGTTAGCAGGAATAGATGCTTTCTCTTTCAGCCGTCTTAGCATCTATATGTGGAAGCCAAGGTTCTCCCCTCTCCTCTGTCATTCTGCCTTTTATATGCAGATAATAATGTAACAATTGTTCACTTTATGTGGCATTTTGAACAGTTTTGTGCAACATCTCGAAAGTCAACACTTTTCTCTTTACCAAGTGTGCATTAGGAGACATTACATTAGCTTAACTTCAACCTTGGTTGAGCTGCAACAAAAGTCTAGATACAAAATGTTCGGTGATGATTTTGTGAAGGGGAATGGTAAATGGACTTGAGCTTGAATAGCGCTTTCTGGTCTTCTGACTACTTATAGCACGTTTTACCACAGACCTCACCTACCCATTCACACACTGATTCAGAGGCTGCTATGTAAAGTGTTTATCAGGGGTAAGTAATCCCATTCATACGGCGTCGATGCAGCAGCGGGAGCAACTTCGTGTAAAGTGTCTTGCCCAAGGACACATCAGAGTCTACCACTTAGCCAAAGCCACCACAAAAAAAGACAACGATGTGAAAATGGAAATCCAATGAACTACTCATGACATAAAACATGTGTACTGTATGTTATGTCTTCATACTTGGGTATGAGTGGGTTACACTCCCCCGGGTCGAGTGGGTTGATGTCACAGTTTGTGTAGTCAAAGGTGCCGTTCCACAGGTGCTTGGCCAGCTGGAAGGCCACCTTCCTCTGTGCGAGCGTCACTTCCTTTCCATGCCAGATGTACATCTCACTTCCAAAATCAAACACTAGAACCTGCACAGAAACACAGATGTTTTTCTTAAAACCCAGCAGTAACCGGAGACCGGTGCTGTCTCCCAGAGTCTTTTTTTATGTGACCACTGGGTGACACCAAAGGAAACATTTAAGAATCCTTCACATAGTGGCTTTAAATCCCTGTGTAAAAACATGCAGATTCAGCTAAATACAATGTTACATTTTTCCAAGCGTTTTGAGAGATTTCCGGTTGTCTGACCTCCTTGGGGTTGAGCAGGGAACAACGGGGCATCTTGGCCCAGAAATCATCATCTGGGACTAGTTTGTCATCCATCAGGCGGTAAATACAGTTTGTCTCCACGATGGCTCCCTCGTACAACTCGTCTTCATCTGGAGTTCCTGCAGCTACAAGAAGAAGGAAAAGGGTATCATCTTTTTGTTTCAACAGACTGTTTCCCGGAGGCTGGGTTTATGTCAGGTCACAATCCTTACACTGGAAGCTCGACTGCCCTCCAAGGATCTTCCAGAAATCCTTTGCAGCTTGGCTTTGAGCGTTGACGGCCTCCTCGATGACCTGGACATAGTTGGCACGGCAACCCAAATCTCTCTTGCTCTGGATAAAGTTTGCTAACTCTGCAGCCTGAACGAAAGTCAGAAAAGAATGTTCATTTTTATACTGAAAACAGACCGGTAAGAGTTTGTGTTTCAAAAACACAGGTGTCCTGGGTGTCAAAAAGAAAGGTAAACAAAGATATACTGCATACTGTTCAGGCTTGAAAAATATATGAGGATACATCCATGCATTTTTTAAATTGAATTGTCTGCAACTTTTAATGGACTGAACTCAAAAAAGCCCTAATATACAATGTGGGCAAGGGATCAGAGTTTTCCTTTTCTGTCCAAAAGGGGTCAGCGCTCTGTGAGTTAATTAAAGGTCATCAGACCAATCTGGGCTTTGAACAATAGCCTCGTTTTGTTTCTGTTTCCTGCAACAACCCACAGACAAACACACACACCACCCTTTCCTTTCCAACAACACACACTTCTTCCGGTGCTGTGTCAACGTTTGCTTCCTCTCAGGCTTTGTTTACATCCTGAGCTTCAAGTGCGACCTACATTACTGTAAGCTACATACTCCACCAGTCTATCAAAACTGCTTGTTCTTTGTTTACGTGTCATTATGAACTTCTCATGATCCAGACCTTGTTCTTCTCGATGACGTTTGCGAACTCTCCGGTCCAAACGAAGCAGTGGTGCGGCGTAATGAGCAGGAAACAATCACCGCTGTTCAGTGAGGACGTTCTGGGCTCCACTAGTCTGGTCTGGACGTGCCGTCGACCTGGTGTTACGTGGGCATTAAAAAACACACACAGACAAAAACAGGTGGCATATCAGTGGCAGCTCTGATTATCATTGTCAACCACGCCTGGGTTATCATGCTATGGGTGTTGTGTCAACAATGTGTCAGTGGAGAACATTTGACCCTGTGCATGTCTGTACGTGTGTCTGCCATGTCAGGTGCTCATCCCTTCATCTTTAAAACCCCCTAGTTGTTACATGGCCCGAATAGATCGCAGCCTACATTAAATCATAAATGTTTCAAATTACAAAGTGTCTTTTGGTGATCCCAGCAGAAGCTCTTGAAAAACCTCCGCTCCACTCAGTGCTGTCAGGCTGGGACAAAGCAGTACCCCCGGTGTTGTGGATTTTCTTGGGATTATGTTGCATGCGGTTTGGAGGAGAGGATCAGCCCAGGATAGTGTGCGGTGACCAGGGGAGAATGATTTAGAGCCACAGCTGTCACCGACAGACGTGTGGAGGAGGTGCAAAGACACCAAAATAGACTTCTCTCCCGTTTTAGATATCCTCTGAAGCAGCATCCTCTGAAGCTTTGTGTTTAGAACAGCAGCTACTGTATTTCTTTTTTCCATCCTCAAAAACCGTTTGAATCTAACTGCTGGTGGAGACGCTGTCTTACCGGCTCTGTATCTACTGTGTGCTTTGTGTCTCTACAAAACAAAGAAGTCACTTTCAAAAGTTTAAAAAAATGTGGAGAGATGTTTGGTTTCCTGTTGTTTGGTCAACTTGTATCCTCAAACCTGTCCATTTTAGGAGGCTGCCTGCAGTTTTACCAAAATACTAATACTTGTTAGCATCCCACCCAACAGCTCATTAACCCATTATTCATTAAGAGTTTATGTGCAAGCTTTTCATTAAAGTAGCTGCTTGAAATCCGGCCAATATTTGTACGAATACCTGGAATTATGGTGCAGTAGAATCAAAATATGTTGACAAAAATAACATTACAACTTATATGGGTGCATGTCCAGTAGTCAGCAGCCAGTTAACTCCTCTTACCTTTGACCTGCAAGAGCATGAGTTTCTTGTAAGGCACGGCGCTGTTATTGGACATCTGCTCGGAGATGTTGACGCTGCGCAGGTTGACGTTGCTGAAGTTCTCCTTGCTGGCCAGACCGGCAGAGCCACATCCGAGAGCCCCGAGTTTTTACTCACTGCAGGGGAACAAAACAGAGCACAGAGAGGGAACATGAGACAAATATCACCACAGCATTTCATCTGTGTATTACACCCCGCCCCCCCCCCCCACATACTGTACAGTGTACACAGCTCAAGTGTTAATAACCTTTCAAGCATGACACTAAAGGTCTCTATGTGACTGCTAAAAAAACCCAAGACAGCTCCGGAGACAGTTTAAGGGTTTGTTATGGGAGTTGTTATGGTGCAAGTTATGGGAGGAACATGACATTGACATGTGCATTCTGTTATTTCACTTTCACAACAAGCTGCAGCTAAACTGAGGACGATGACAGAAAACAGACTCCAGCCCTCGCCGTAGGTCGTGTTAGTCCTTAAGTAGCTCGACATGGTTATTTTACAGCTTGAAGAGACAGTATGTGTGGTGTATATTATCAGTGATGTTTAGACTTCTTTTGTCAAAAGGTGAAAACATCTGATTGCCGATATTACAAAGACAGGTCCTAAGAAGGCATTTAGTCTTTTATAAAATTTTAAAGATGTTTGTCATTGCATGTGCTGTATGCCCGAATTAATGTATACCAGCTCTTGCTTTTTCCCATGGTCATATGAAATGTTGATGTTAGTGGCAAAGATGAGACACTAATTGATGCCAATACAAAGTAAACCAAACTCAAAAGAATCAAAATATACAGATTTATCTTTTCATCATTTATTGTAACATTGCCATCAGTTTTAAATTGAGCAAGTTTAAAAACTCAGTTTCAAAAGAGGAGCCCATCACTTGTTGCATCCCTGAGTGTTTTGGTCACTTACTCTTCTCAGCCTTCATCCTCTTGCTCTCCAGCAGGCCGATGTTGAGCCTCTGCTCCGTGTACTCGTATCTGATGTCCTCCCTGGCAGCTAGCATCTTTAGAGGGTTCCTCGATGACTGGACGTTACGTGCCGGGCGCACTGCTCGCTTGTGCTGCACCATCTCTGAGGTCAGCCTGTAGAGACGGAAGAGGTGAAGGTGGGTTAGGTCCACAGAGGAAAGACGAGACAGTCTTACATAGATGATTCATTCATTTCTTTGTCTGGCACAAAGAGCTTACTTTGGCACCTGGGGACCAAAGATGGCATCAAAGTCGTCATCTATCTCCACCTTGTTGGTGGTGACGGGGAGTTCATCAATTTGTCGGTAAAACTTAGAGAAAGTTTCATCTTCGAGGGTCATCACTTCCTTTACTTTCTTCTCCGTTACTGTGATGGTTGCTTCCGGCAGTCCAGACACTGAGACGAGAAAAGACGAGGCTGTGTCAGAATCATTAACTCAACAGTTCATGCACTGTGCGACAAAAACACACTATTTCATGATGTCAACTTCACATAAACTTTAAAGATACAAGTTGCTCCACATTTGTTGCAGTTCTGATTTGAACGAAGCACATGTGTTGTCTTTATCCTGTAATTACAAGGTCCTCATCAGGCTTTGTTTCCTTCCATTTCAACTTGGAGAGAAGTCTCATTGCATTTCAGTTCCAAAGCTTTCCTACAAACAGCAATAATGGCCTCCCAGAGTTTGATGAAGAGGATGTTATGGAACATTTTTATGACTAGCACATTGAGCTGTGGGGGGGAAGTGAACTGCATGATTTTGCACTTCTGCATTGACACATTTTTCAGTACTGGAGGTTGCCGCTTGGGAAAAGTCAATTAAGTAAAACAAATACCAAATGTATGAAATATCTTCCTCTAAACATGCACCACTAATGGATGGAAGTTGCATGTTAGTCATCCATATAGGTCTCAGATAGTTATCACAAATGTACGAGATTTAATGATGTGCCTGAATCTAAAACTGATGTTTTTCATGAGGAACTGACGGGTTTCTCATGCTGTTTCCAGTTTTGAGGCCTGATTCTACACTCAGTGACTTACAGACAGCATTCCAAACACCACTGACCTTTACTGTTGATCTTGCCAAGGAATGACTCCAGTTTATCCAGCTTCATGTCGGACTCCAGGTTCAGGTCTGGCATGGCCTTGATCTCTGCAACAGGGTCCAAACACACAGCAGTTAAAGCCATACATTTACTCTGTGTTTGATTTGAGGTCCATTCTCTGATGCAAGCAGGCACTCTGAGGTTTGCTTGGTGAGTTGTACAATGAGTGATCACGAGCAGAATCATACAGTCACAATGATTTTAACTATCAACACATTTATCATCACTGACACACATTTTGAAAACACTTCACTGCTACAAAATACAAGTTCTTCACACTGCAGACACATGCATACTATGTACCGCTAGATAATATATAATGGTTTATGTTCTATTAGCCATTAAAGCTAATAGAAGAGTCACAGCAACACAAGCGACATTAGTGATGATGAAGTATGTGTTTGGTGACGTGGTGAACATTGCATTCAGTGCAACAATGAGAGAGAAAGGAAGGAAAAACACCTTCGAAATCACACATCTCCTCCACGTCTTTTGAAAGAGAAGCAAAGAAGATCATTACACATCTGTGCTCAACATCTGAACCGGAATAGTAAAACAATTCATTAATTTAGCATCAATAAACAAACAGAGTAGGAGTTAGCGACGTCGTAATGTAAAGGTGACCATCTTAGTGGAAAAACAATATAACAGTAAATAACTGGTTACAGACTTTGTTCTTTGTTTTTTAAAAAGGTCACATGTTATGCAAAATTAACTTTACCATGGTTGTCTAAACTGATATGTGTCTCTAGTCTGTCTATAAACCCCCATATATTAAAAAAGTCCATTCTCTCCGTCTTTAGCCTACTTCACTTTTCAGGAAAGGTGTTCTCAAACAGTCTGTTTGTTGATTTTCACTTCATGACATCACAAAGGACAGTAACCCCTCCTCCAGGTGGAAGACACTCCGACAGCTAGGTGTTTGTTCTGACCTATGAGTCTGCCTTCTCACTGTAAACATTAGAGAATGTGACGAGAAAACCAGAGCCACCCAAGCCCTTCCAGGGAGGGGCGTGGTCAGACACAGCTCATTTACATTTAAAGGTACAGACACAGAAACAGCCTGTTCTAAACAGGGCTGAAATAGAGGGGTTTATAGACATGATCTAATACAGGATCAGAGTGGATTTTTTTTGCAAAAAAAAAAACCTTCACAGGTATGTTGTGGGGAGCTCTGAGACTTCTTCAAACTTTCTGACATGGGGTATAATATGAGACCTTTAAGTCTAGACCACATGGAGCAGCCGCGCCCCTCACTTCTGAGTGACACAGCTAAATGAAGTGAACAGCTCAACGTGACAGCAGTTTGACATAACGGGTCAGCAGAGGATAGAGCAGACTGGTAAGAGACAAACAAGGAGCATTAAAGGTGGTCACAGAGGAAATAGAGCATCAAACTGACCTTCCTGTGGTTTGGAGATGGCCAGGCTGCTGTTCTTGGGTTTGGACGATGCTGGCGGAGACTGCATAGCTGAGGTGGAGGTTAACCCTGTTGTAGGAACACAGACAGAAATACTCGTTTCATGACGCAAAAAGCATCTCTATTCTACACACTGTCATTATCTGCAAGTTAAAGTGCAAAAGGTATGTAGCCTATAGTGAGGTGAAAATTATTATATAACCACCAACTTTAGAGGTAAACTAAGTTACATTTGGGACCTCTATCACTTTTACATTTGACAAATTACGATGCAACATGTCAACTTTCAGGGATTATTTTAATATGATGTGTATTGTCCCTATCTGGCAGCGCTCTGTTTAACTATAATCAGATATTTCATCAGGATTAAGAGGGGACCTGCGCCTCATATTCTATTTGTCTTACAGAGTTTAGTCTTCTTACCCTCAGGCCGACACTATGGAGTGCCTGTGGTTAAGACAAAAAAAGGCATCTGGCCTCTTTTGCAACTACGTCTGTTTGTTTGTTTAACAGCAGTTGAGTTTAACTTCTTGCTGCTCTTTGCACACCGCACTTTTCCCCAGACGCTGGATGATCTTTTGCGGGGCTTTTCTGTAATTATGTAAGAAATGTTTGTGGATTTGCTATAAGTGTCGTAAGTGTTTTGCATGTTTCCGGCAACAAAACCGATTTCCATGTAGATACCTTTGACCAGCCAGGTGTTCTGTATCATAGTGATGTCTACCAAACATGTTGAAAAATAAATCTTATTACAGTTATGTTAATATCACAGTCAAGGGGATTTTCTGTATCTTTTTTCAACGTGAGCCCTTTTATTCACACAACTAAAGGGTTGAATTACGAATAGCTATAAAGAGTTTTGGGATTGCTCCAAAAGATTTCAGTTGTCTAATAGGCTGTAATAGCTGCAACCTAATTCCTGCAGGTAAACAAACCTGATCAAAGCACATCAACTCAACGTTCTTGTTTTTGCAATAGACCGGCTTAAGTGTGCACCCACACTGAGCCGAGATCATTCTTTAAACATTCATGCTGTGGGTTTGCTTACCAACAAGTAAAACGCATTAAACAGTACCGGGTGTGACGCTAACAACAATAGCTTCAAGGGCAGCCAAAGCAACAAAACCTCTTTTTATTTGTCTTTGAAGCTGGCTTTTCTGATGCTGCTCCTCCTCATGACACTTTCTATTTAGCCAAAATCTTCCTTAACATGCACCAATTCTCCCAAGACACGAGTGAAACCTTCCAACAGCTGCCCCCTCCGGCCGGGCCTGCCGCTAATGAGGAAAATATCCAACCATAAAGATAATTTTCTGCTTCAGCAGAGTGTCTGGCCGGGTGTGTCTGAGCCTGGTGCAGGGACGAGGAGAATCATTTTCTCCTCACTGCTTGTTGTGAATGGGCCTTTAGAGGGTTCAGAGCAGAGAGCTGACACTGAGGTGTGGACTTCAGGCTGTGTAATCAGAGTAATCATTCAGAATTTGGTGCATACATGTTGAGCTGCACGAGGGACGGGGGAACAGGATTGTAGAGAGAGTATGTGGTGTTTCATTTTTCACCTTTCTTCACCATGCGTGCAGCCACAGTGAACTGCGTGGAGTCGTTGGCAGCCCCGTGGCCTTTACTCTTCCAGGACTCCTCTTGGGAGACTATGAGCTGTTTCCTCTCCTGAATGGACATGTGAGCCTCGATGCTCTGGCTCTCCATCTCACACTCAGCTAGCCGCTAAGAACAGAGAGAGACAGAGAGAGAAGGTCGAGAGAAGTGACAGTCAGCAACATTCAATACTTCTGCTGGACTCAAATTAAAGGAATAGTTCACTTTAAGGTACTTTTCAAAGTCAGAAATCATCAGTTGATCTGTATATTATTTCCTCAAACGACATTACAAGAGGTAGAAACTACTTACTGTTTTAACCATGTATCTGTAATTGATGCTTTTTTAAAGTACTTATTACACATAAAGGGCAACAAATGAAAAGACACAGCAGCAGACAACAAAACAGAAACTTCTGTTTATGACATTGATAACAGGTTCAATGTGGAATTTCACTTTAACCAGAGCAACATTCACAAACAAGACAAAGTAGCCAAGCAAAACATGGACACCAAAGGGGGAAATTTGTAGACAGGAAGCCCACTAATGTCGGTTACATTTAAAACACACCGTTTACCAAAATGTGGACAATTAAGCAGTTTGACCCTTTGCCTTGATGAGCGTCACTTCAACAATGTTGTGCTGTCACTCATGGGGTTTAATAAAAATACATCAGTTCACAATGAGAATACAAGACAAATTCCAGACAATGTCTTTGAGTTTCCAACTAGACAACACTTAATTGGTGCAAACTTTAAGGGGCTGAAACTGTATGTGTGTGCAAGTGCTGCCACAGGGAAGGGGGGTTTTGAGGGGTTTGCCAAAGCACTGTTTATGGTATTGACAGGGTCACCTTCCTTCTCCAGGGGTGTCGCTCATCCACATGCGAGGGCCTGGGTGATCTGATGACCTTCACATCCATGGATGACGAGGAAGGTGAGAAAGGATGAGGATTAAGAGGTGACGTTGAAAAGGTCGAACATGATCTGTGCAAGCATAAAGGCTGCCATGCAGACTTAAAGGCTGCCATGCAGACTTCAACAAAGCTTCAGAATGGGGAAGTATAACACATCTGAAGGGCGGCTGTGATGGACAGCGAAGAAATCCTGTTCATAATGTGCATATGCAATGGTTGTTTGCATGCACCGCTAAAGCTGAGGGATTACTCCTTTGACAGGAAGTGCAGTTTGGCGCTTTAAGAGCTTTCAATGTGGAGGAATCAGTGCCAAAGAATCACACAGGTATGGCATAAGCTCTTTTGGACATCTTAGTTTCTTGACAGATTCCTTTCATCAATATGTGAGGTTAAATCAAATCATTGACGTTGCCTTTTAACATTCATCAGTTCAGAGCTTAGTGAGGTATAAGCATGTGAGATGGCGATGTAAGCAGTGGGGCTGGCAACACCTGAGGCCACTTCTCACCTGGCTGGCTGACTCATCAGGGGAAGGAGTTAGGAAAGGAGGCTCAGGAGGAGGAGAGAGAGCAGAGGCAAAGACTGGCTCCTACAGAGGCATGACCATGGAAAATACAAACACAGACGATATTAAGAAGTGTGCAGCAGCTGCAGTGTTCCTGTCATGGCTCGTGGCATATTGAGGGGATGACAGTTATTTTTATCTTCTAGGTTATTTTCTTCCTTCTTTGGCAGTTTTCTTAACATACTCTACCAGGTGAGATACTTAAGCACCCCTCAAGGTACTTGTGAGAGCCAATAAGTAGAGTTGGGATGATTAGAGGAACACACACCACAAGAACACCACCACCATGATTTTAAGGGGGAACACAACCACCACCACCAAACATAGTTTGCACACTGGCCTTACCCAAAGCTGGTCGGACACAGCAAACTCATCGATCATCATCAGAGCTTCATCCTCCTACAGACAAGCAGCCGCAGGAGAGAAGGGACAAGTTTTCTAAAGGCTCTGTTGTCCCGTAAGTAATAATGTCATGGCCAAATCACAAAATCAACAACATGTATGTCAACAAACAAATATTTTAAAAGAGGATTTGGACTTCTCTAACGTTTCCCCTCCTCTTGAAGCTCTTTAAGTAGCTGAATGCTTACTATCGCAGATAATATTAACACTAGGATATGTAGGTAATGGTTAATGGACTTGACCTTGTATAGCGCTTTTCTAGTCTTCTGACTACTCAAAGCACTTTTACACAGCAGGTCACACCTACACATTCACACACTGATGACTGAGGCTGCTGAGTAAAGAGTCCATCAGAAGTAACTTATCCCAATTACACACATTCATATGCCGCTGACAAAGCAGTGGGAGCAACTGAGGGGTGTCCTGCCTGAGGATACATCGAACATGTGGCTGCAGGAGTTGATTATCAAACCCCCCCACCTTCCGGTTGAGAGACCTCCGAGGGGGTTACAGTTCAGTTATTTTGCAAACCTTTATGATATTTTAAGGATGCCGTATAACCAGCCCTTTTTATAGACCTGTGATTAAAATGTTAATGATGCAATACGTGCTGTCTTCTTCCTGTTTGTTTTTGGAATAAAAGTATCAAATAACTGGTGATGAAGTTCTGCCTAGGAGTGGAAACTGCAATAATCTTAACATGTAAATAATAAATGTAAAAATGAAGAGTTATACATTTAAACTAAATTTGTGTGCAATTCAACTTCATCATCATCCTTTGTTTTGCACCTCTAGTAGGCTTTCCAACTAACTCCTGTGTTTTTACATGGGACAATAGGAGTCTGTATTCACTCTGCTGTTGGCTCTTGTTTGACTCTGCAGACTTTCATATCTGCTGAGATCTTGAGTGTTGCTCTTCTTTGATCAATAACAGGAAGTTGACTGAATCCAGTCCAGTTACGCTGAAGAATAGGAGGATGAAATACTAGATTAACAACATCGACTGTTCTTCCCCCATGACCTCGGCTCGGCTGTCACTTGAACTGGATGAAAAACCTCTTCATTTCCTGATTTGATTAAAACGTCATGTCGGAAAAAATTCAAACAGTGCGTAGAAAACACAGCATCACATCATTGGTCACACCATCAGACCTGACCTCACATGAACCGATTGTCGAGCCGAGCTGAACAAACTCTGATAAGCAGCTGGAAACAAAAAAAAAACACCCTCGCTGACGTGGATGGTAGCTGTTGTAAATATTTCTAAACAGAGAGGTACCTGTACCGTCCCCAACCCCACCTTTCCTTCAAAAACAAGCCCGCACAGAAACACAGTCAACATGCAGAGGATGAAATGAGGTTTATTTGTATTAAAAGACATGCAAACAGAGACAAAGGCGAGCAGAAGAGCGAAAGGTTACATGAAACATTCAGTTCAGAAAGAAAGAGCGACATTACAGACGACAGTCATCACCGTCACTACCTCCTCATAATCAGTCTAACAGGATTTAAAAAGTACAAAACACTTCTCTCAGAGGGATAACTTTTAGTCTCTTTGCGCAGATTATTTGATTTAGACTTAATTTCAGCTAAATGTCCTCCAATCTTGATTATCTCAAATAAAACCCCTTTATGATATGAAAAACAGAGAACACTTTGACAACTGAAGCTGCTATGGAAGGCTACATCATAATAAGGCTACAAACATAATTGTTTAATCACATCAAAAGTTTATTTTTAAATTATATTAAGGTTTAATTACATCGTTTGGAAGTCCGAACATTCATTGGCAATACCTATCAACTATCAAAATTCACAAACTGCACTAGGTTAAAAAAGTGTTTTGTGTGTTTGTAAGCCAAACAATGACATATAAAAATATTCATACTGAGGACTTTTTCACTGGTTGTGACATAGTCCTGCAAACTCATCTAATGCATGACAAGTTGACAAGATGATGTCCTTAATTTAGCACATTTCTAATTAAAAGGTCACATATTTTGCAAAAAAACTTTACCACACAAATATGTGTCATTTGACTGAGTTATCATTCTATTTTCAGTTTTGACTGTAATGAAGTACTTCCAATTTAAAAGTTAAATTCATGATAAAGTTATACTAGTATGCATCACGCACACACAGATGAAAAAGCACTTTGAGCTATGTGATTTAATTTGAAATCTTGGCATCCACACACTTCTGCATCGATGACATGAAGCATGAAATAGAGTTAACATCCAGAGAGAAGAGTGTCTTTTCTGCTGCCTTGACTGAAATGAATGTGGATTATCTGTTGATACAGTCTAAGCACAAACACATGCAGCAGCAACAAGAAGAGGAAGCACACAAAGACATGAAAAGACACAGACATGGACAAGACACAACCTCTCTGTTTAGAACTATACACAACTGTAACCATGCTTTTCTGCAGGTTTCTACTGCAAAACTCATTTTTCCACGTCTGTTTTCCATCTCAGATTTCTGTGAGTCCAGAGTTACAAGATCAAAACACCTGAAAAACTCTGTTTGACAAGCAGCCTGATTCAGAGGCTCCAACTGGAAATACTTGATGTCAAATCCCAACACTGTGGATCAGATCAAATGTCTATGTCTCAGAGACACTTCACTTCAGCTGTATAAGTGCTGCATTCAAGATTCATGAGCAAAGATGGATAAGTGGAGAGACGACAGCGGCTCTTTAAAGACAGACATGATAGACAACAGCCAGACACAGATCAGTCAGCAGTGAGTGTGCAGGTCAGGATGTTACCTTCTTCTTGAGGCTCTGCTCCACCTCCCAGAGCTCAGCCTGCTGGTCACCCACGGCAACCTTCGCCACATCCTGTTTCTTATTGATCCTGTTCCTCCAGTCCTGCTCGCCGCTCTTCTTCAACAGGGCCACTCTGAGAGGGGAAGAGGAAGAATCAGAAATACTTTATTAATTCAAGGGGAGAAACGCGGGTGTTCAAGTTGTTTTTATACAGGAAAAAAAACTGATACCGTTACAGATTTCCCAGATTTTTATATCATAACCGATAATGTTATTGTTGTTGGTTGTATGTGTAAAGCTACATAACGCTGTAGTAAACCTAACATTGCATTGTGCTGGCTTCACATGCAAACAGGAAGCAGCAACAGCTGTCAGGTTTTTCAAATAAAATCTTTGAAGGAGGAATTGTGGAAGAAATGGTAAATTTGATCATATAGAAGGAGCTGTTCCACCTCACGTCGTCATGGAGACAATTTGTGGGCACTTCTTACAGTTCAGTCTGAACGTCTTCAAAGTGAGAGTGGAGAATGTTTAAAGTGCCCAAACATCTCTCTTGATCGGTGACGTGGACCAGCGCGTCAGTCTGATATCTGAAACGTAAATTACTTATCGGACCTGCTACAGATGTAAGATCGGATCGGTCGAGACAATACCAAAGAATATAATTGAAGACACACAACACTTTGCTTAATCATGTTCAAGCTCTCGTTGAAACATCATTTGGCTTCTCCTGCTTGAACCCGACCTGAAGACAATACTGGACCCAACACAAAAAAAGAGACACAATGCAATGTGTCCTTTCATCTTTTGTACAAGAACACTTGAAATAGAGACAACAAGCACAAGCAGACAGCATGCCACGGTTTAAGGTCCTATTAACTGCTCTCAGGTTTCAACAGGTTGGTGGCAGCTTAAGAACAATTAGAAAAAGATCCCTCGGAGATATCAGGCAGCATGCTGTGTGCTGAGAAACTTTCTGACAGGCTTTAGTTTCAACAAGGTGTTAAGACAATAAAAAGGTGCTAGCATCTGTTTGAGCTCAAGTTCACGTAGGCCGAAGAGAGTGAAAAGTGGCAAATGCTAACTTCAAATGCAACTGTTAGGAGAAACAGCTGTCTGAATATATACTTTAAAAACATCACCAACTGAAGCACAACTAACAAGAACAGAGGTTCAATTTATGAGATCTTATTCCTGAGTAGGAAGTACACAGGACCTCTAACTGAGGGGTCGTGGTGTCCTCTCACACCCGACCCTCTGTGACCCAAAGAGAGGACATGTTCTGCCCCCCAGGCTTTACAATGAATCTAGTAAGCAGAAAACAGTAACGCTGAAAATATGTCCCCAGCTGTATCCTGAATCCTTTGAAATGTTCGATGATAGGGGACAGTTACTACAACAAGCAGACTGGAATGAGCAACACGCACCCTCTAACACCAGTTTGAATGTCCATCTAACATCTATTATGTCATCAATCAATTCAGAGTGTGAATGCTGCCTGCGTGTTTCTCAGTCAAATGAGCGTTCTGGGCCTGTAAACAAAAGATGACATAACAAGACACTTATGTAATCATTTCATCCATCTGGGAATCCAATACTCAGTTATAAAGAATAAAGTAACATTACAACTTCATTTAAATGACTTACAACATGATGGTGGGTGCTCAAGTAACAAATCAAGCTTTCCAGGCTGTTAGATCATACTGTGTGTCATCAGATATATTTCTAGTGATGTCCTGGTAATAACTTATTCCTCTCCTTTTGTTTGAAAGCAACACAAATCATCTGTTTCTGTGCTCCATTGATGTCCACAAACTATAGAAACACACCATCCAGCAGTGAAGCAGCAGAGACTGAGAATAGAAAACCCCAATAACCCACTTTCACACTATGAGTTGCCCTTATTATGTCTTTTTTTTTTTTTTTTTTGCTCCAACTAACCCACATTTAAACCAAAGAAGAAAATGGGATCTCCTCCATCTCATGTTGAGAGGACTTTTAAGCTTTATTCAGTATCTGATGCAAAATGAAAATATTTTCAGCCCTAATAGGCATTTAGATTAGACAGAAACGTACATATGGTCATACAAATAGACAACAATAACTTTATCCCCTTTAAGCAAAAAAAAATAATAAAAACTTGACAAAAGCAGCGGGCTCACCTGTCTCTAATGGACATGGTTTTGGCCATCATCATGTCGCTCAGTTCTTCTCCGTCTTCGGGCTCCACTAGGCCGGCTGTGTGTCCGCTGCTGTCTGCCTGAGTGTCTGCCACTGGAGGAGGCTGACACACTGCTGCTCTGGACGTTACCACACTGGACTCATGCAGCTCTGTGATCATGAGCAGACGTAACACAGTGAGCAAAATCAATAACTCAACCACGACTATTTCCATGGTTTCTGTGGTGAACTTGATTTAAGAAAGCATAATAATGCTGCTTATGAAGGACCTAGATGAAATAAAATGGTGTGAAACAGGATTACGGACGCATTCTGCAGGCTGATCCTTTTATCAAGCTCTGTGAGGATGCACTCGTCTAAATAACACAATATACAACGTTTTTATGACTTTAGGGTTTTCCTAAAACAGCACAGCCAGTACTCTTAGAGTTAACAGTAAGCAGCAGAGGAGTAAACATCGTTCATACTCACCGAGAGGCTTTCATCCGCCTGTGAGAAGCAGACACTTTTAACGGCTGTAATCAAATAATCTATAGGCTCCCTTGTCAAGGCATTACTGCCCGTTTCTTTCTGTGCTGCATTTCTCTGTCCACAGAACCAAACATTCTTACGACTGATTTCTGAACCCTTTAAAAAGGTTGTTCACTGACACAGAACAAATCAGATCGTTGGCATAAAGTGACTGCCGCTCAGACATAAAAGGAAGCCTGAAAACCACAATCTCAACGTGTAACATTTTCTCAGACGACACACTGACAGGAAATGTGGTTTACTGACATGATTGTGTTTATACATTTTTAGATGCAGATTCAACCGTTTGCTATTTAAATATTTAAATACCTCAAGCACATTCACACTTCAAGCATTATTTCTTCTGATAATCCAAGACAACGAACAAAAACAACCCTTGTTCCCTTTTCTATGCTAAATACTTGGGGAAAAATAGTTAAAAATGCTAACTGCTAGCATAATACGAAGAAGTTAATGACAGTGCTAACATTGGTAGCTTTAGCAGGTATTCACCATGTTTAAGTTTATGTCAAATTGTAATTCTTATTTCAACTGGCAACATGAAAAATCTGACTCTTAAAATGCTGAAATGCTAACATGGCAGTATTAGAACATTACTCATGTGGTGATGCTTTATTTATCATGTCATACATGTTTTCTGTTTAAGCATGCTAAAGTGTGTTAGCTAGCTCAGAAGCCAGGAATGACAGTATGTTTTTAACTTTTTTACTAGAAGATATAAAAGCCAGTTTTAAACCCTGCATGGTACCATTGGTACGCTAACACTGTGATAACTAGCATACAAAGTAACTTAACACCTTTGTCTGACATGTTTTAGTGTGAGCTCATTTACAACAATGTACTTATCACTCACTCACTCAACTTGATTTAAAGCAGTTATCACAATGCTATCATGGCTTTTTTGGCAGGTTTAATATTTACCATCTTTGATTGTGCTTGTAAGCATGCTTACATCTTAAAACTGGCAAACAGTCTAAGAGTTTTTTGTGTTTAACATTCAGCCTCATCCCACTTCTTTTACCTATCATCTCCACATCCTTAAAAATTGTTAAGACCACAGTAGTTTGTCACAAACTACATTTGTAGAAGTAAAAAGTGTGTTTTCTTTGGAGTTAGAGTTTGTATAAACTGTGCAAAAGTTGAATATCACCTTTAAATAAATTTGTTAGAACAAGGCAAAGAAAAGGAAAAGAAAGCAAAGCTGAAACAGAGCTCTCTCTGCTGTTCTTACCTCCACTGATGGCTCTGTTCTTCTGGCTGTCTGTATAGTTTCCCTCTCTCTGATACGACTCTTGCCACTCGTGGAATATGCGGCTGTCCGAGCTCTGCACGGCTCTCTCTCCACCCCAAGTGGTCAGCCGCTGCTCCTCTTCCCCCTCCTCTCTACTCTCTCCTCCAGTCTGAGGCTGGGGCAAAGGGGCCTGCCTTACTGCCCTCTCAGGAGAAGGCAGCTTCCTCTTTCCTCCTCCCAGATTCGCTCCGTCTTCACCCACCGATAAAGTCCTGGACCTCTGGTGATCTGTCGACTCCTGGGGTCTCAGTGCTGGGACGTCTGGCTGGCGAGGAGGGAGGGGTTCGACTCGGGGTGCTGCTCTGGTTATGTGGATGTCTCCAGCGTGGTCGGTGGAGACGGTGCCTCCAGCCTTCAGAACAGAGGCGGATGATGAGGTAGGGAGGTGCCTGTACCCGGAGGAAGTACCGTTTTGAAGCTGTGTATCAGGGAGGGAAAGACAGAGAAAGAAAGAAGTGGGTCAGTGTGCTACAGAGGCCGAAAAAAAAAAAAAAGGTCGGGCAAAGTGCTCACACACACAAAATAGAGAGAATGACGCTGACTAATCACCGCCTGTCTGACTCACTGCACTTCCTGAGCATCAAAGGGCAGCCTATCTGCCCGGTCAGTTGCAGCCCACATCACAAAGCCATGCCAGCAGCCTCCCCCCCTGCACACAATGCATCCAGCTGTAGCTGTAACTACACACTTCCCAAACTTAAAACAATTACCTCAACTGAAAAATCTGCACTGACCTGACATTTTCGCTGAGTGAAGCAACAATAAAGATCCATGGAAAGCGCTTAACTGCTGAGAAAAAACTTCAAAAATCTTTGTCTTTGTTGAGAATAAATCCCTTTCAACTCCTTTTTTTCTTTATGCCTCAATTTTCTCTCTTATGGTGCCACAAACAAGTCCATAACAGAAAGCTGCTGTCAGTCCATGTGGTGGTGAACAAGTATAAAGTGCCTTTGTTTTCCTCCAACCCTGAGGCATCTTCAAAAGCCGTCAAGCTTTACTGAAATAAATGATCCATCCACAAATCACAGCCTCCTCACTGACACAGCAGAAGAACTGAGTCAGGTCTTACTCAGAAGCCGGGCCATGCGCTGTACACATTCATAATGAAATCACACTGCAACATAGATAATGAGATGCCAAACAGCACGTAATGTTCACAGAAATGTATTCGGTCATTTCTGAGAAGAGTGCTCCAGCTGTGTCGGACTCCACTGTGTCAAGGCAAATGCATGGTGACTGTTCACATGGACCTTACTTGTCGGTGCTCTACGGGGCTGTCGCAGAGCTCCTGTTCATCACTGGTGTCTATGTCTGAAGACTCCTGGAGCAGAAACACGCACATGCTTTGATGCATGGCTCAGCTTTTCTTTCTCTGAGCAGAAATGGGTTTTACTCACAACGCAAAAACACCTAAGATGTTTCTTTTTGTATCTTAACACTTAAAATGTTCTTTTATTTTATATCTTACTTCCTTTTGTTGCTAAATCATTACCTGCTGCAGGTCTATGAATAACAGGGAAGTTCCTTATGATCCTTATAACCAAGAGAGGGTATCATATGTTGTAAATATTATCATCTTTCTTTAGTTAATAGAAATATGTTTCAGCGACAGAGGCCCAAACACAGTTGTACACGTCATTGATTCTTTTTTTTTCTTTTCAAAGGTTTATTTTTGGGCTTTTTATGCCTTTGTTTAAAAATAGGACAGTCAGAAATCAGGAACAGAGAGAGTGGGGAATGGATTCAACCCTGGCCATCCGCCTAGAGGACTATAGCCTCTGTACATGGAGTGAGCACACTAGCCACTAGGCTACTCATTTGTTATAGGACTTAACAATACACGGGAGACTTGACTTTTTTATCAATGAATGTATTCATGGTGTTAGTATTTTTTATTTATACGTGTAATAAAACCATTTGATTTTGTTCCTGAAGGGTATTTCAGTGAATATCCTATCTGACTTGACTATGATAATGGCTATAAAGCTTGTTTCTATCAGTGAGTCTTTGTATTAATTGAATGAATGAAACCTTTATTGTCCCTAAAGGAATTTGCCTCGCACTGAGAGCACAACTTACTATCAAACACACACGGAGTTCTCGTGTGCGCGTCAGCCGCAGAGCAGCGCCATATGGATGAAAATAATTCATCTTTTCTTCGACTTGTTTTTGTAACCGTGTACTTGCTGCCCCCCTGCATTTAATCTGTTTTGTGTTTCTGTCTTATTTGAATCAAGACGACTGTACTGGGGACAAGAATCTGTTAAAAAAAATATGATTTTGAGATGGAAATGTACCAAACTTCATGCCAGAATATCAGAACTTAAGTTACATTACAAACATAATTCTTTTTAAAACTCCTACTTTATATAGACATATAGAAATGTGTTAAAGAATCAACTTTTCCCCCCTAAGCATTATAAACTGAGGAGACAAACACATGTTCACATTAGCGTAAAGAAAAAAGGTATAGAGTTGGAACAGCATTTGTTTCATAGAGAATCAAAAGACACTAAAAGCAGTAAAGAGGATTGCTATAAGATAAGATCCGATCCCTACCTGCTCCAGATCTCCCAGTGTGATGGGTTGAGTCTGGTAGCGAGCGTTGGCCCTGCGCTGGCGTGCGTCCCCTCTGGCGCGGGTCACCCTGGTGGGAGGCTGAGCCAGCCGGTTGAACAGCGCCATCTTTTCTGCCAGGCTGAGGGTGCAAAGATCAGGCTCGTCCGGACCCTGAGCCTTGCTGTTACTATCACTCTGACTCCTCTCCTCGTCTTTTACCACCATTGTGGACACCGGTTTAGATACCTGGTCCTTGCTATGACTCTGGATCTTCTGATGGTCTTTTTCTTCCGTCACAGAAACTGGTTTGGAGACCTGGACCTCCTGGGTTTCCCGAGCACGCCGGCCTCCCGTGCCTGCTCCCGGGCGGAGGAGCTCTGCTGTGCAGATGCCTGCAGGCTGTGGGCAGGGTGTCACCAAAAAGACAAAGAGGTAGGAGACTTGTGGTAAGCATAGAATAAGCACATGCAGACTAGACTGTGACATGCTTAATGGCAGGCAGCTGAGTGGCATTAAATGCATCCACTGACATCCTATAAAAGATTCAATAAAGGAAGTGTTCACATTCAGAGTGAATCATTGTCACTGCAAACAAAACCACAATATCAACTCAGTTCATTCAAGCCTTCTCCGTCCTTCAATAGCGTAACTATGTAGTTTCCTGTAATCACACAGGAGGGCACCAAACTCAAAAAATATTGTGCATCAGAATTTTACACCACTGGGAACTTGCAGTGATTCAAATGCTGTAGGGTTAATCCCATTGGTGAGGAATCCACTCTGAACAAACACTATGCAGTGGGGAATGAGCAGCATTCAGTGAAGATGTTAGTCACACTCTGGAGGTCAGCGTGAGCATTCACATCGTGCCTTGTACCTGTATGAGGGGACAGTGCTGTAAACTAAGGTCGGGCTAGGGACGCGTGCTACAGAGGTGTGAACAGACACCGTGTGGGGCACGTGAGCGGGGACGCTGCAGTGGCCAAGGACAGGGACAAAGTCACACAAAGACACACAAAGAAAGAGAAAACAGAGATGTTTCAAGGTACTAAAAGGTTAACTCCAGCTGAGGGAGAGAAATACAATACATGTCGAAGAAGAGACATTTCTACAGAAGGATGTCGGCTGAAAACAAACATAATTTCAGAATAACCACACAATTTAAATCCTGAATCATGTCAAGAAAATACAATTTGATGGATTAGCCATATAACAACAAACAAGAAATTCAGCATTTTCTCTTTAAGAGTTCGATGAAAATATTGAATCCACTCTGAGTGGGTTTGATATGAAGCTAGCTAAATAATCTCAGCACAAAAGCTGAACACAAGAGGAAACAGATAGCGAGGCTCGTTCTCAAAGGCTTACTATGCGACTAGTTATCAGATCAAAATTAGAGCCCATCCGATTAATCGGCCAGTCGATAATATCGGTCAATATTAGCTTATCAATTCAATATCGGCTAATTTTGCTCCATAATCCGAAGTGCTAACAATCTTTAAAAGCAATTTCACTCAGCTCCTTTTGGGAAAATAAAGATCAACTACTCCTGTACCTTTGGCAGAAAACAAGGACTTACGTGGCAGCAATGACGACTTCCTCGGTGGTGATCGGCTGAGTTCTGGATCGGTCTTGTGTCCTTCTTAGTCTCCTGTCCACTGCAGCATTCCTGGACCGTGATTTAGGGGCTCCTCCATCGATGCTCTTCTCCAACTCCTGGATGGAAGAGTGGTGGATACACATGGAAAGTCATTTTATAACAATGGCACATTTCAGACTTTAAAACACTGGTATAATAATCATGGACTTTACATCATATGGCTCAAGAATTTAACACTGCAGTGATTAAAGACAGGTGATTGAGCACATTAACATCCTTTCAAAATCAAAGCTGTTTGGAAATGTGAGTCTCTGTTGGATTGAGCATCAGCGACTGAGACTGCAGGGCATGTTTGAGGTCAATTTAACAGATGTGGAAGTGTAATGAACTCCAATAACGGCTCGTTCCAGTAGAAAGCTTATGCAACCCCACATTATGAAAAACTCCCAAGTTTTCAACTCTAAGTAACAACAGAGAATGTTAATGTTTGTGTCCTTGTGTCCTTGATTGAAAGCACATTTCTCTGTGCTTGGTGTCTGAAACTATCATGTCATCTGTAGAGAAAGAGAACCAGGAAGAGAGAGACAAACAGGCAGAATATGATGCTCACCCTGAAGAGGGAGCGCTTGGCTGCTACGCTCATCTTGGCCAGTTCGTCTACCTTTTCTTCATCGGCTGAAGGGACAAAAAGGAAGTCCATGAACATGCATAATGAACACATACACTTAACAAATGTCTTAATCAAAAATATAATCAAAAAGATCAGATATCAAAAATTGAGAGAAAAAACAAAGATACAAAACTACACAGAGAGTATCTTCATCACAATGATTGGAAACAATTTTTTGTGTCTCAGATATGTTCTGTTCATTGTGTTAAGCAGATTCTCTCCCTTTAAGATTTTGGTCAGAATGTTCACTTTCATTTCTCTCACACATTCAGCACACCTGACTTTGTAGCCAGGAGCAAAGACAAACCACAAGGCCTGGGACTGGCGTCAAAGTAGAGAGTACACAGACAGGTGTGAGAGGCTTGGCTGCATGCACACATAACACACGCTTTCTGTGAGACATATGACATGACATCACCAAACAACTATTCCCTTTAACTGACGCCGCTGAGCCGAGCTCTGCTCACTCTTGTGCTCTTCAGTACAAAAAAAAAAGAGTCCCGGCTGAGTGCGTGCTTATAAGAAGCAGATGAGCGGCCCTCAGTGGAGCTGCAGTGCTGTAGTGCTACTGTGAGCAGCAGTAATAACTCTTTCAATTGTTGTGATTCCCTGTTAAAGAGTTATGAGCCAGTTTGCCTCCAACTGTGAATCTATTCTTTAAGCTCTGATATAAAGGAACAAAAAGTCACATATTATTAATGTGTGGTCAGCTTCCAGATGCTGTTTTTATTTCATAACATTTAATTGGTCAATGTTCAGCGTAGTCATGACCCGACTTCTCTACTGTCTATCCTGCAGGCAGGAGTAAGAGAATGCTTCATTTAAATGAAGAGCATCTCCGATGAATTAAAAACCCATTTGCCGTATTTGAGCCCATCCAAGAGAAAAAGGCTGCAGGAATTCAAACTTTTCAAAGAACAGGAGTAGTATCCAGTTAGTGCGGAAATTCTTACTCTTAAGGAACATAAATAATGTGAGTGATGAAAAGTCAAATTCATACCATGAAACTAAAAATATATCAATATCATGACTTAGCAATAAAAGTGTCACACTTTTAACAGCTTTAAATTTACCTTCAAACATTATGCAACTGGACGTTCCAGCCAAGTGTTCCCTTTGGTCTAAAACATACCGACAGGCCTGCTGATAATACCACTTAAGATAGCCATGCTTAATCAATTAGTACACACACACTTGTGTACACAAGCTAAAGTACTTCATGAACAGTGTAACTCTATGTACATATGGTACATGAGTTTGCAAAGCATGTATGTGCAATCAATCTTTTACGTGTGCCGTTATGTTCATCAGTACATATTCTTTATTATTCTAATATATATTACCTGTTATAGGTATATTCAGACATTCAAGTTGTGCTTTAAAAGTAAGAAAATACAACGACTTACCTTCAGTAGAAGCGATATCTGAACTCACACAGGACCTTCAAAAGTAGCACAAAGAAAAAGGCAAATTAGTTAAAGCTAGCCGTCTCCTTGTTACAATGCCTAAGTCAATGGTGTCAAAGGGTGGTGAGTGATTCTAGACAGGACAAAGAAGAGAGCCAGTCACAGAGGAGGTGAGGAGATGCAGTGAAAAGCAGTCAGTTCTGGTATGTGTGAAACGTTACAGTGAGTGTTAGTATTAGGAAAAAAAAAAGAAAAAGGGAACACTGTAGTAAAGAAGACTAAGCTGGAGAATTAGATAGCATTACAGCAGTCTGTTCAGCTCCATGGTCGCATGGAATGATTCTCAACAAAGACCGATTCATGGTATGGTCACATGTGATGACCAATGCCAAGGCCCAATCAGCAGGACCTTTGGCCTTTAAGCTTCCTTCTTTTCTAATGTTGTTAGAGAGACGCCGAATCAAGAGGACTGAAGGGTGTACATACCTGTTTGTGTATATGTTTGTGTGTGTGTGTGTGTGTGTAGCAGTCATGGCCCCTGGTAAACTGTGATCCAGCTCATGCTATTAATCTGATTATGGACTGAGTACATACAACACAGTTACTTAGACTCCCACCTCGTCAAATACACCAGCCCAGTAGGTAGGTGGTCCAACGCTTTAAAATCTGTAGGTATCCCTGTAGCATCGCTACTGGATACTGTCTTCTTGCATAATTGTTTGATGTACCTTACATATCAGGTGATGTAGCATTCATAACATTAAAGTCAGCTTTGGATGGTGGGGGTGGTGATGGTGGTGGGGGCACTGAATGGAGCAAACAGAGGCTGTACTTTCCTTCAGGAAACAAGGGTTGAGTTCTTTTGTAAACAAGGAGTTAGTGTCGACTTCCTAGTTGACTTTTTTCCCCAGTAGTTAGCATTATTCGCCTACATTAGGGTACATGTGTGACATTAGTTACATGATAAACTATAGTTAAGTCCATGTGTTAATAAGCATTTATCACAATGCAGTAGCACTTATTGCAACCCAAACCACGATTGGTGAAGTGTTTGGGTTTAAAGACTGGACTGGTGTGGATTTCTCCGCCCCTGTAGGAGGGTTCCCAGGGCAGCGCTCGACACACATGTAGCAAACTGGGATCCTAAATCTTTATAAGATGTTCTTGGTGGTTTGTTAAACAGAATCCATTTCATTTAATCAAGACCAGCAGGTGAACCTGTGTCTGTCGGGAAGTCAGACTCTGTAGTCAGAAGGCTTCAGAGCACTTCAACACTGCAAGGCGCGAAGAGCAGATAACTAATCATTTTCTGACCCAGTTTGAGGATAATTGAAAATATTTTATAGGATGCCATCTTTCATTTCATTTTGGATCTTAAATGTTTTTTTTCTGTTTAGTACCATGGCGTTTTAATGCTAATAATGTTACAACTGCTTTGATTTTAACTCTCAGAGCACTTTGAATTGCATTATGTATGAATGGTGCTCTGTAACAAAAACTTTCCTTGCCTTCTTTTAAATAAACACAACCAGGCAGTTTTGGTGCTTTCACACTGCCAGACTGGTTAAGTTTACCAATGTTCAATCTCTGGTGTGGAAGTTGTGAGGCCATTTCTGAAGCATGCTGTCAATCACTTCGTCAGATACCTACCCACAGCAGTGGTTGAGGCTTTAAAGACAACTTAATAAAAACAGTCAATCTGTTTACTATTACTTGCATGACAGCAGAGTAATTTCATTGCAAAGCTGAAGCTAACTAGATTGTCATCATTCTTTTAAAGCACAGGGCCATTGAGCAAGATGTCTTGGTTGTAGGAATATGCTTCAACCTTTCTATGCATCAACATTTCTAAGTTCAACATCATGTGATGATTTCTTTGACATGCATGATCATGGATATTTTCCCAGCATTCCGCACTCTCAGCCATGCGTTCCTTCGACCAGAGCAGTACCTATCAGTCTCCTGTCGCTCAGCAGAAGTGATGGGCTGCGTCCTAAACCTCTCTGAGGTCTTTCTACTCTCCCCAGGACAGATATACTGCCTGGGCCTGCGCCCCCTGTCCCTTTCCCCTCTCCATGGGACATTGTAGCCCACGAGTTCCCTTTCACACTCAACTTCACTGGGAGGGCCACCCAAGGAGATGGACCAACAGATAGAGACCCAAAGGAAAGAGAAAACACATAGTATGAGGGAGAGACAGAGAGGGAGCAGTAGCAAAATACACATTTTTAAAAGCAGAGGTAGTACCCCTGGTTTTGAAAACTGCCCATGCAGATTTACCAGCATTTAAAACATGCACACATTCCCTGTCATAAGGTAGTAACCAAACAAGTCACTGCACCAATAAAGTCAGAAATAAAACACCAATGGAAGCTCAGTGTTAAGTGATTATTGCATGAATGCCATTTCTACAGGTTAGAAACTATGCAGTAGTATAACTATACTTTAATGTTAACTCCATGCCTTCCTTAGTTGCTTGTTAGTCATAAGGGAGCCAGCCACTGTTAGATACCAAGCATCAGCCTAAGTTCTGAAGAAGCCAACCAATGAGTAGCAGCGGGGAAGTGCTTTATTTTTCCACCTACAGCTCATTCCTGCGCCTGCTTGGTGGGGTGGTGGTGCTCTCCATGTAGGAGTGTCTGAGCTGGGCAACAGACACCCGAGTGTCCTGGTGACCCTCTTGGTTACCGAGACCTTCCCCCTCTCTGACCTCTCGGGGGTCATAGGCCTGGTGCTGCAACTTTCTCTGACTTGGCCTTCGTGGATCCACTGCATCCGATACTGAGCGGCTCAGGGCTGTGCTGGAGGTGGAGCCTTCTGGACCAGGATGTGGCACTCTTGGCTGGATGTGGGTGGCAGAAATCCCTTTTTGAACATAGATGGCATTTTCCTGTTCTCTGTTTCTGCCCTCTGATGCTTGCAGACGCTCTTTTTCATCCCTCCTGACTCTCCCTCTGTGTCCATCTTCTGCTTCAACCTCCCTTGAATGGTTTAGACTATGCACCCTGGACATCCCTAATTCCTCTTCCCTCCTTCCTCTCCGAGGGTCCTCTGTGCTCCGTTCTCTCCGGCGGATCTCGGAGGGCAGCACTGCTTTTCTACTTGTCAGAAGGCCCTCTGTTTTCACATCCTCGGACTCTTCGGTCTCTTCTTCTTGGGTCTGTTGCTGCCCAGCTTTGGATGTAGGACCAGAGGCCATGGATAGGTAACTGGGATAACTGCCAACTTCTTGCCCTCCTGGTTGCCCATGGCGGGAAGGCTGAGTTGGGGGATGATGGTGGGGGTGAGCATAAACTTGTTGGGTGCTTGGTTGGTCTGGGTGGTAGTGTTTAGAGGTTTGGGTTTGGGTTTGGTTTGAAACTGTCTGCGGTAAGATGGGGCTTCCAGCTCTGGGCTCCTCTGGCGACCGTCCTCCCTGGAAAGCCTCTCCCTAACTCTGAGTCTTCAGGAAGAACAAGGGCTGGTTAGCATTTAGGAAACATAAATAGACAAGGAGATTTATCTCAAGACAACTGTTGATCATTTTATCGGCCTGATCAAAAAGGAGCAGACAAACACAGCAATCGACTCGTACACTAATCTAGTTGATTTTGTTAGAATTACAGATGATTTTTTTTGTCTTGTTTGAGATCAGAGCTAGGAGACCAAAAGCAAAAATTACAGAATAATAAGAGATGAGATTGATTTGGAGTAGAGCTGCCAGGGGCTTTTCAGGTTTACTTGAATCCAAAGTCAAGAAGGACATGATTGAGTGCATTTATTTATGTTATGACTGTGAAGATACTGAATTTTCCGTATTCTAGGATGTGCGTCTGCATGGCTAACAAGTCCCTGAAAGACAGATCAAGGGATCACCACCAACATAAAATATAAATACAAGAAGATGACTGAATAAAAAGTGAAGAACAAGATTTTAAAAATTGTTGCACCAACTGATGTAAAATCAGTTTTACTCTGATGAAACACTACTCGCAATGTTTTATCCTTCATTAATAAGTTACAGATTTTCTCACACTGGGGTTAAACTGAACACAGCAACTTATGGGAGGGAAATGAAGTTATGGTTTAAAGAAAAGGAACAGGCGCTTGTGGCGAACAGGATGATGACAATGTGATGTAAGCTGGATCTCAAGCTCAAAGCAGAGCTTCTTAAACATTTGAGTCTTGAGTATAGCAACACAGGGAACAGTATTTGGCCTCTGTTCTGGCCCACAGTTCAAGAAGCACTGCTCATTGGGGTTGATGGGATTTTGTAAGTCTAGCAGATGGAAACATGGCAGGGGATGTTGGGGTGAGACACAACCAGCTCTGGTGTACCTCGAGGGCCAGTTGATGGGTGACTGGGTGTCGCCCTCAGCATCAGTCTGGAGGAACCAATCATTGCTCAGTTTCCCTCTTGCACTGCACCAACGGAAACCCATGGGAGGTATTTGAGTGGAAGGTTGGGTAAAATGCTGGATTTAGTCTTATCTCTTGCACACACATACACCACTACATTATGAACAACAATAACATTACACTAAGATTGAACCGGAATGAGAATGGGCTCCACCACCAGCAGGATCCTGCTAACAATACAAGTTATGCTCCCACATGAGACCAGTCATAGTTACTGCAGTTTTGGGAGAGGCATCAAAATCAACATACATGAACTGTAAATGTGTATGTTCTTAATGTTAATTCCATTAAAGTAATGACTGACAAAAATAACTCCCCGTTTTCCTAAAAAAGGAAAAACTGAAAAGTGCTGCTTCTTTAACCATGGCTGCTTGTTCTCAATTCATAAATTGTTAAACCCCCTCTCCCTCTGTCTTTGGATGTCAGGTCAAATAGATTTGTGCCAAGGCTAGTTATTCTCAAAGTAATTCAGAACAGGTTTTGTTCTAAATAAATGTATGCAGGTTTGGAAGGAGTAGGTTATCCTAAAGTTGGTTTTGGGTCAAGGCCAACATGTAAAGATCTGTTTTTTTGAGCAGGCATTCATAGCCAGTTGATTTTTATCTGGATACATTTTCTTTTTAATGTAAAATATAGCACATGTTTTTCTTTGCCAATTACCAATCACATTTGATCTCGACTGCTGTCCAACTTAATACAAAAATACTCCCATAGAAAGCGTATTTGCCAAAGCTATGTTTAGTCAAGATGATCTTGTCAAAGAATACCATCTCCTATTTGCTCTTTTCCCCATCAGGCCTTACTGGTCCTGATAAAGTCCAGCTGTGGTCAGGGGTCTGAGTCACACTGAGCCGCCCAGTTACCAAACAACCTCCTTGACCCACGGACACAAAACATAGAGCAAAGTTTTATAATCTGAGAGAGGGATTGAGGAACACAGAGAGAATGATGCAGACATGAACACTAAACAGGCAATGGCAGCTTAGTTGGTATAGGGTCTTCTTCATTTGTTTGTTTGCAACATTAGCTACAGGACCAAAGCCTGACCAAGACCTGAACTGGGCTAACTAGCTGTTTTATCCCAAAGAAGGAGAAGAGTGACGCAATCACTGATTCTATCTGTACTATCAATAGTGGGCCTAAAACACTCCAGTTCTTCACCTCAGCAGCAGCAGTGTCTAATTCAGAATGCACTCAAACTGGATATTTGACTGGACCATGCAAACTGAAGGACAATTCCATAATAATATATAATATATCATATAAGAACTATGGTCTCATTTTTGTTGCTCGTCCATCGTTTCAGATATCGCCCAATTACAAAGATGAAAGGAGGTGCTCTATATATAAGACATGATCTTTATACTGTAGAGAAGTAATAAATTATGGAAATAAATGGCTGGCATAAGGGGGTTCAATGTTGTAAATAACCATAAAACCTTTGTCAGTACTAGAAAAATAAACCAAAGTCTTTATAAACTGGGAATTTCCTTTCAGGGAGCATTTGGTTTTCTGATCAGCATTTGTAAAATTCTCAAAGAGGATAAATTCTCTTTAAGAATGTGGGATCTGCCACTGAGCCAAGCAGCCACGTAAAGAGCTCCTCCTAACAGAATAACAACAGCTTGGCCAACGAGACTACCTCTGGGAATTAAGAAAGTATGGCAATTTGCTATTCTCAACAGATGCACAGGAAGTTTTGAAATAGATGCATAAGGAAAAACACATTATGTATCAATCTGCTCATGTATTTTGCAAACCCAGTTGTAGGTCTCAGTGGGAGTTGGTAAGTGCTTAAAGATTGTTTTAGAACATGATCAGGTTGCCTGACCTGGTATGATACCACACTCCTGCCAACAGGACGACCTTGGACATGTGTGGATGTGTGAAGAAACATAGAGACTGAGCTGGAGGGAGGGAGGGTCAGTGGGATGAATAATGCTGTCACAGCGAGTCCATCTACTCAAGGGAATGACACAGCAGTTTTTCTGAGCCATATAGAAACTGGGCTCGAACCCTGTTTCAAACGAATATCACAGGTAGCAAGGTCCAAACCCTTGGAAAGAAATAGCTTCCTAAAGAGATGTTGCCAGATTTTTATGGAGGCATCAAATCAACTAAATTTCTTACATTTGGAGAAAGTCATAAAAACGACCTGGGGAAAGAACAAGATGAGGTCAAACAGAAACAGCGATCAAAACAACGTACCCTTGTCTGCTGAGGATGCTGTGGGACTGCTGATCAATGAAGAGGTCACCAGGAGATGCACCATGTTTAAGTGAGGTGAGCGAGTGCTGCCTGCTCAGCTTGGGAGAACTGGGTGGTATCCCAGTGACTGGGAAGTCCTTGGTGGGGACCCTAGCAGCTGAGGACATTGCTGTCACATCCATGTATGAGGAAGAGGATGGCGGCTCAGGAGGGGCCGCTCTGCGTTGATTCTCCAGATTCATCAATCTCTCCCTCTCTGAGAACGAGTCCACCCTGGTCCGACCCATCTCATAACCCTGGTCTGGGTGGACATGCTGTGGTGCTGTGCGCCCAGCCCTTGGACTGGTGGCAGAGGTACTGGTGTAAGTACTCAGGGTGACATCCCTCCCTTCCTCCCCCAGTGACCCTCCTCTGCCCCTCATCTCTGATCCGTCAGAATCCTTGCGGGTGCGAGTGTAGCGAGAGGGACAGTCCGAGTCTGGCTCCTGATCCAAAGAGATGCCATAGCGCTCAGCCAGTTGTCGTCGCCGCTCTGCTTTGTAGCGGGCGATGCGTTCAGCCTTGGACTCAAGCTCCGGGGTGTCGTTGGTGGAGCCTGAGGTAAAGACAGGCTCTGTCAGGATGGAGGACTGAGGGTCAGGTCTGACTCGGGCTCTGGACTGTCGCTCTGGAGCCGTCAGCTGCATTTCTTGGGGTTCAAATCCCTCCATGCCATAGCGCTGTACTGTAACTTACAGGACAAAGAGAAAAAGTTTTTTTTTTCTTTGAGAAGCACAAAAAAAAGTCTAAAGGAAAAAAGTGAAATTGTAAATGTCTCACCACCACAGGGCTCAAAGGGGTCAGATGCCCGGGTGTATCGTGGTGTGTCCTCCTCCAGAAGGCGATTGGCCACTAAGCTAGGCAGCAGAGACGGGTGCACCTCGCCTTCTATGCCCTCCAACCGCCGAGCGATACGCTCCTTCTACATACACAAGCAGGAAGCAGGAAGTACTTAACCTCAGACATGCTATTATCATTATTAAAATTATAATTAGGAGAAACGCTTGCAGTCTTTTCGTACTCATAGCATCACCTTCTCACCTGTTCATTTCCCAATCACTTGAGCTTGTGGTTATTCCTCCTTCAAATCGTTTCCTCAATTCAGAGACTGAAAAATGAATAAATGTTATAACAATAGACAAAATGAGTTGTATAAGAGATAAGTGTCTGAGGTTAGCTAATCTAAGTTTGTGGGAATATGGAACAAAGTCAAAATGGATCCAGCCATTAGAAGCCAATCCAATTTAGCTGAGGTCGTCCTGTAAGGTTAATTTCACAATCACAGATGGTCTTTTTGCTCAAATTGCTAATCGTAATAAGCTAATCTAAATCATCCTTCAACAGCTAGTCAATCCCTATATTCACCATTCAGTGGGGCTCGAGAGAACCACAAACCTCTCTATGACATTATCTCTTTATTTGATCTACATTTTGCAGCAGATGGAGCCTTTAAGGAAAACACAGTGCAGCTGTTCAAGTCATAAAATATACGAGGACTGTGCTTGTAGAAAAACAGGTCTAAATGAAAATCTTGACTTTGTTCCACCTGGCAAAGAGTTCTGCTATTGCACAACTGTGACTTTCAAAAACCCTGGGAAACTTGACATTGTTAGGGGCCATTTGCAACGAGGCAGAAAAAAAAAACCTTACTCACCTTTCGGGAGATTGGCCAAGAGACTAACATCTATATCCTTAGTGCTTTTGGCTGGGTCGTCTTTTTCGTCAAAGGTAAATTCTTTCTGGAAGCTGAGGGGTGCAGGAAAAATACCAACTGTTATTGAAACTGGGCTGAGCTGTGGGAAACAGGATTTGTTTATACACCTATAAAGCACGCAGTTGCAAAAGACTCAGTGAATGAATCTGAATTTTTTCAAACAAACAATCATCCAAATTATACAAAAATCTTGCTGGAAGTTTGACTTCTTTGACTGATGTTCAAGAATCTGGTCAACCAGCAAATGGATTATTGATGAAGCTAAGAACAACAAGCTATTATTCGTCTGAACAAAACATTTGGTTTTCAACCTGTAAATCTTAAACCCCCAAATATTTATCCAGAAATTCTAAGCAGGTTTCACCCCGCCTCACCCTCTGCCTCACACAGATTCACAGCAAATATCTCTCTCCAGGGCTTACTGGAGCCATTTCTGGATTTGATTCAAAAAACACAGTTACCATACAACTTGAAGAGAGCTCAAGTTGTATGATTTTGAATGTTGGGAATTGGGAAAACATGACTTTGCGGTTTTATTCATTCCGGCAACCAAAGCTCTGAAAACAATGTTGTACATTGTGCAGCCTTCTCTATCACCACATCATTTGTTCTCAAGACTGAAATCTCCAAAAAAGTTCCAAAGAACACAATATTTTCAAGTCAAAGCTACACTCACACACAGTCTTCCACACCGACCTTCATCCTGACCGCCATAAAGTAACCTTTCTAAATGGAGGCTAACAAGGAGACCTGGTGATGTATTTGACACACAGCCAAAACCATGATGCTGAGCAATCCTGCTAATGCCCCAGCAGGGTTGTTTCACACTGCCAAGCAGCAAAGTGTGCTTATCTCTTACTCTTTCACGAAGCTTGGACACTTGCCCTGTCAGAGGCACCACAGCTTTACCTGATACCATGATATCTGTTTGTTTACACACTGGAGGAACTCCACGAGCGTGAAGGTCATTTAAAAAAAAAAAATTATATATATGTACCATTTATTTTAGGATTTGTTGAGAAACAAACGGTCAGCCTCAAAAAAAGCTGTGATGGTTGCAATTTAATTCCTTGGGGATGATTCACCCTATCAAAAACACAAACGCTAACTTTTCCTGTTTTTGCCCCTGACAGGTTTAGATCATTATCTAAATTAGTGTCTGACAACATTACAAAAAGATCCCTACAGAGGTAATCTTTTGTACAGTCGGCAAATATGTTTTGCTGACAACAGAAATGGCCATTGCATGTCTCTCTTCAGAGCTCCACACTCCATTTAAAAAACTGTAAAGGAACAGTCTTTAATATTTAGTTTATGAACACAGTAATGGCTTCTAAGAACATGCTGCTTTAATAACTACAGTGAGAAGCACTTTCTGAGCTATCTCCATCCAAAAATGGACTAAGATAAGCATCTAAAAACAAAAAAACATAATATCTTACCTTAAAGCTCTCTTCTTTAGCAATCTGGGATTGCTTAGTTTAATGGGGGTCTCACTCCCAAGTCCTGTGGAGGAAACACAAGTATGTAAAATTAAGTCATGTGTTACACAAACTCATGTTAAACTTGAACAGCAGAACCTCCATATTTGAACCACCACAGATCACAGCGAAACACCTTGACATTAACCAGCCAGTTTGTGTGCAGGCCCTTGGCACAGAACCACGTTCATTAAGCGGACTTCCACAGAGAAAACAAACGATGTGGAAAACAATAATCTGCCTGTCGGACTGAATCACATCATATACTACGAGACCCCTGTAGTTTAAAGTCTGGCTCCCCTCCAACTCCCACCCCCGCAAACACACAACACGTTACTCTGCTTCCATCCAGAGAGTGACTGTCTCCATCTTAAGTATCAGCCTATGGTGTTGTGCGTGAGGTCATATTGAAAAGGGCTTGATAGATGAGTGACTCTATGTGTGCGTGTCACTGAGGCAGGCGCTGTAAAGTCTGATCACACATCAAGGTTGCAGTGCAGCTGGGAGGATGCCAGGAGAAGCACTTTAATACTCTCCATGAATACAGATACAGCATGAAGAGGCCGACAAACCGTCATCACAAATCCATATTTACATAGAAACCATTATCGTCCACAGGGTACGAGACTCAAGCACTCATGGTCCATCTCATGGTCCATCTCACCCTTGCACAAGAACAAGTCCCAGAGATACGCTAATGGTCAACAGCAATATTAGATAGGGATAGATGAATGCTAAAATTAGGATGGATTAATTGGATTTATTCTCTTTGTCTTTCCATTTACTTTTCACTCACATGCGCTAAAACATTTGTAATATTTCTATTCTTTTATTAACCTAAAATTTGGACCACTGCAGTACAACACCATCCTTTCAATTTCAGCATTTTGGCTTCCCACCCTGAGAGCTGCCATGTGACTATAGTACATTCTCCAAACTATGCTAATACAAAACAAATTTACAAATTCAAGAACTTACTCAAGCCTTTACAAACCAGCCTCATGAAGCCTGTTGTTTATTAGGAGTAAGGCTGGTCAGTAAATGAGAGCAACATGTGACATAAACACCTGCCTAGAGAGAAATACTGCCTCATTATCAAGAAAATGAGACTGGGATTGAGCTTGGTAAACAGTGATGTGAGGAATGGGAGTTCTGCAGAACATCCCTTTAAGGAATGTGTGTGTTATTGCGTCCGCCGCAGTCACTGACTCCAAACCTCAAACGTGCGGTTTGGCTGCCCTCGGACCTCCAAGCGGCCAGAGCTGTGCAATTTCAGGACAAACATGTGGTCCCACTTCCATCCTCTCCGAGTTCACCTCAGGGCCGCGTGACACCCCATACCCGACTCCCCCTCGAAAACCTAACCTCTCCCCCGAGGCCGCCCACCCCTAACCACCCATTCTAGCTCTGTTAGTTTTGATTATGGATGTTTGGGTTGATGCTTTAAGTCCCTCCTACTTAAGCAAAACATCATTTGAGAAGAAAGGAAGGCTTATTTGAAGAGGGCGGTGTGCCTGGATGTGTTTGGGGATAGTCGTGTATTGTTTCAGCTGGGTGGAATACGGCTGGTAAACACAACTCATTCCTTTGCAAGCCTTAAATGACAATCCTGGTGATCTGGGCGGAATGAGTTTCCTTTTGACATAAATCCAAAGATTAGCACAACACCATTCTCGTAGATATTATCAGTGTACAGATGAATCCAGCAAACACAGATCCTTCCCAACTGAAACAGTAACACATTATCATACTGCACCTCAGATAACTTTGGATGTGTTCATAGCAGAAGAAAAGGTCAAATCGGTTAAGATTTGTCGCCAATTTTCCCCATTTACACCTCCACGTATGTGCAACTAAAACCCTTGACTTGGTTAAGAGAGTATTACATGCACCAAAGAGAAGATAATCAACTCAACACATAAACCACCATGTGAAGTTGGCCGGAGTTGGCCCCTGTGGGCCGCCATTTGAATAGGCTTGCGCTCGGCTATCTGGCGCCACTTTGTTAACTAGTTAAAATGGTTTGCCTACAACTTGGCCATACGGACATTATAGAAGTTTTGCTCAGTCTGACAGTGTAGGAATGATCATTGTTCAGGTCTGCATGAAGATAATTGTTTCTAGTTAATATCTGTCCATTAATCTTGATAACCTTTGACTCAACCTGGTCCCATTAGCTACTGTAGCCAGTGTTTGCCGGCTGATTTACCTGTCTACTCATGTGCAAAACACTTTAAGTATTACTGCGAGGTTCCAGTTCTTTATAATGTTGGATGTGTGCATGCTAGTAAAGTAGAAGCATTGACATGGTTCGTTGTTGTAAGCATAGAAAGTATACAAGACAGATGTTCTTGAATGCCACTCAATGATAAACTGCATGTAAACTCCAACTGTCAAAGGGTTTACTAAAGATTAATTTATGTGTTAACTTTTGTCCAAACTCCAGGACAAGTTAAGTACATTGGGTAAGTCATGGGTATTGAAGGCTCAGGAGGACAACATTTTTTTGCAATTCTGTTTTCCAGATCCTTAAAATGCATCTGGAGAGTAAAATATCGTCAACATGCATAAAGGTAAAAACACCCAGGTTGACAAATACCAGAATTGTGAAACAAAACCAGATGTCCCAGAAAAGGTTAATAAGCTGCTAGTGTGAACATAACAAAAAAACATCATCCCTCAGGGGGCAGCTGTCTGAGGATATTGTCAGGTCCAACATATAGAATTTACCAAACCCAGACCTGTACCAAAAAGTGCCTCAATACATTCGTCATTCCAGACGCAGGCATAAAAACCTGTACAATGATCACAGATGTGGCAGAGCCTTTGATGCTGGCTGTAATCTACAGAAACACTGTGGCTGCTATAGCCAGGAGGGAATGGGTCAGGAATGTCTCAGCTCTGTGCCTCATGTGTGTTGAAGAGGCTGTAAAAGGCGGCTTGACACTGATAAAACATGAAGATACAATGATTTCATGATTCAGTGAAGTGTCATTCAACCTCTGAGGTGAGGAAAGCCTTTCATGTGAAGGTATCAAAGGTTTGATGCACAACACTGTCCATACACCAGATCTTAAACCAGGACTTTTAAAAACTCAAGTTTAACACATATTAAGACCTTTCAGAGAGTATAGGATACTGTAAGGGCTGGGTACTGTATCTTGCAAGGTCATTGTACATGACTAAAAGTAGATCTCTGATGAGATTATCCCCAATCCTTCACATGAATATTCACAAAAAGAACAAACAATGGAACAGAAACAGCAGCTTTTAGCCATAACTGCCCTTGAGTTTTGCAGAGGTTTTTGACCTCTGATTGAGGCAATTATGCTAGCCTGGTCAGCATTATGCAAGGCATTTGCTTCCTTGTTCTTCCAACTTTCATCAGAGCTAACAGCTGCATTCAGAAATTCAATCCAGAGTCATTTTCATTAAAGAAATGTGTATGACAGTTTAGTGTCAGAGAGTACGCCACAAGTTTAACACACAGTCCAATTTGTTGATCCTGCCGGGTGCTGGAGTAAGCTCACCAATAGGTTTAACAATGTCATTGAGTTTCTTGATAACCGTAAGACAATGAAGATAATGTGATTATGTTGAAACTCGTTTGAAAACTGTCAAATGAAAATCTATTTAATGTAGGCCGTCACAGATTGTCTTTAACAATCCTCTGCTCTGACAAATCAGACACTGACTGAGTGCTGAGCTCAAACACCACACTTGAACATTACAAGAAGACTGGAGTGGCTGTCTGTCAGTGTCTGTACTTAGCCCATGTCTTAATATACAAAAACAATCAGTGTGGTAACCAAAAAGGCATCAGGAGCTGAGCATATGTCCAAGTTGAGACAAAGGATTAGCTTCAATTCCCGGGATTAGTGAGCCCAATAGGAAATGTGTCAACTCTTTAACCGTCTGCATTACATCACACTAGATGTGCATGTGTGTGCGTGCGTGTATTAGTCTCATCATCCCCACCCAACAGTTGCCCACCTACTCTGCCTTCCCCCTGACTCAACCAAAGCCCCACTGAGAGAAGCTTAAGAAGTGAAGCATTAAAAAACAGATGGAGAATCAGAGATGAGGTGAAGGGATGTCTACAAACAGTTGATTTAACAAAATGATGTGACAATAAGCCAATTAGGCCTTTAACACTATTAACAATGAATCAGCTCAGTCTTAAATTCAATTCTGGGTAAACAGGGTGCAAAGGACAAGTACACTGACACATTAAACCCATCAAACAAACGTCCCTCCTTAACCGGTCTCGCTTCTCGTGTCAAAGCCTGTAACTGGGAGACACCTGTTGTGGATTCCCGGCCAGTTTAGAACACATGAGCCGTATCTCAACACTCAGCTCTCCATCAGGGAATATTACAAAGCAGTGTAGGAACGAGGGGCACTCTGAGACACAGATATGGATCTGTGGATCTGAGTCAGTGGGGTTTAATCATCCTTAGATACACAGGTGGTGCTGGATGAGATGATCTATTGAAACAGTAATACAAATATGAGTAACTTCTGTTACATCATTGCAGGATGTATCCTTTTAAGGCTATGCACTGGCTCAATATGGGGCTAAATTTAAATATAGGACTTCAGACATGGCAAAGTTATATATTATCATTTAATATTTTGAAAATACATCTTGAAATACAGGAATATGAAAACATGATACAGATTTTTTTTTGTATCCTTTATATATATATAGCAACATAGTATCTGGGTTTATAATGTGTTGTTCAATTTGAGCCAATGAATAAACATTGGAATATATTAAAATAATCTAAATGGCATGTAACTATTAAAAGAGTAATCAAACTATGTCTTTTAGGATCAATAAAGTATCAAAAAAGATAATCTGGCAATACATTATTGTTTTCCAAATTACAAAGCCACATCACAACAAACTGGAAAAGAAACCTTTTGGCAAATTACACAAAACTCAGGGTTAAAGAGCAGCAGCTTTTACTAACTGTTAGCTAGCATTACATAAATAATGCTCTGGGTTAGTCACAGTACCTTTTCAAGTACGCTATCTTTCTAATATCTCTGTACTGAGCTGTTTCGACACATCCCTAGGGTTTTGTTCGAAGGAATTTTAGCTATTTCCAGAACTATTTATTTACTGACAATGTAATAAAAACTCCAAAGTAGCTTTGTTTACACATTTCAGCTAGCTTTCTGGTAAAGATAGATAACCTGCTCAGCTTGTCAGTGAGTTAGCTGATGGGAGAATAAGGACATTGAAAAAGAGAGACACATATGACCAAACACATTCCTCTCTCGTCTTGTGTCCAAGAATTGTTCTTTCAAGAAGGAGTTTGAACTCTGTCAGAAGGAGTAATCAGAAACAAAGCTAACACGCTAAATCAGCTTCTCTGGCTTTTTTGATCAGTCAATAGGTTATCGCTGTCAAAACAACTCGCTATAGGTCAATAAAGCTAATTTAATAGAGCCAGTAAAATTCAACATGACAGGTTAACTTCATGGATTGCGGCAATTTGGTTGAAATTAACGGATTATGATGTACATTTGGTGCATTTTTATTGCCATTTAACTAGTTCCTGTGGCTGCAAATCTTATTTCAAATAAAAAAAACATTTCAATGTATGTTTTGAGTTTTAATTGGTTAATGAGGATGAGAGTACATGTTGGTCAATGATGGATAAAAAATGCCAGTGTGATCATAGTTATGGTCCAGTATTCAGCCTGAGTCACATATCTAAACACACTTTCCTAAATCTGAGTCCAAGAAGCTGTGAAGCCTCGAAAAAAAACTGCCTCAACAACACAGCTCACTGCGCTGTTCGAGTCCCTCATCTCTGCTGCGTAGTGTCCTTGGAGGCTACAGCTGCAGCACAAGGACAGCTGGCCTCAAAGCAGGACAGTGAGCAGAGAGGAAGGGAGTCTGCAGTAAGTGTCCTGCTAACTTCCAAGAGCTCGGATTCCCAAATCCACACCCCAGAGTAACCTATCAACTCAGCCTGCGCCCCAAAAATCTCAGCTCTGCCTCGAGTCGCTGCTCTTACCTTGGCTGCAAAACTTGACGTGAGTCAGGTAATTTGAGATCCACGGGTTCCGATACATTTTGGCAAAAAAAAAAAAAAAAAAAGTCAATAGACAGGAAAGACAGAAAAGAGGCAAAAGAGACAGGCCTTGAAAAGAGGGTCAGTTGGCTAGAAGGGGATGCAGCTGACAAAAAGCAATTTGTCAATGCTGCGGGACAGAGAGACAGAGAGACAGAGAGAGAGAGAGAGGGGAGTAAGGTAGTGTTTAAGAGGAAGAGGGAGGGAGGGGTGGGAGTAGAGTGAAACGTCCCAGCCGCAGTGCCGGTACAAGTAGAAGTGGTCCTGGTAGGCAGAGAGAGAGGAGCTGTGATTCTGTGGCTGCAGCTCTGCCCCTTCTGATGTTAACTCCTCTCCTCCAGTTCCTCTTGCTAACTGCTAAGGGCTAACCAGAGCCCACTACAGCAACCTGCAGGGTTGAAAGCTGCTCAGCGTGCACTAAGCTCATTAGGAAAGGCATGCAAATTAGGCCCCATCCCTACTACAGACTGTAGCAAAGTGTCCTGCGTGCTTAAGAATGAGCCTGGCAGGCAGAGAAAAGAGGAAAAACGGTGCAAATGTGTGTGTGTGTGTGTGTGTGTGAGAGAGAGAGCGAGAGAGACAGAGATAGTTAAGAGAGTCCCAGGAGAATGCTTCCTTCCCTTGGCTCACACACATGAACTGGATGCCAAAGAAACCGGTGCATAGCGTAAGAAAAGGAGGGGTGAGAGAGTTAGAGAGAGAGAGTTAGAGAGAGAGAGAGAGAGAGAGAGAGAGAGAGAGAGAGAGAGAGAGAGAGAGAGAGAGAGAGAGAGAGAGAGAGAGAGAGAGAGAGTGCACAGAAAGGGTGGATGAGAGTGGAAATAAAGAAGTGAGCAGGAGAAGAAGCAAAAGTTAAAATGACCCTCTCGGCCAGATGAGAAATTCCAGTCATCCCTCAGCAGGGACAAAATAGAAGGAGCAGCATGCAGAGAGAGAGAGAGAGAGAGAGAGGGAGGCAAGGTGGGAGGGACAAAGACAGAGAGCAACAATGACGCAAAGTAATGAAGACAAAGACAGACAGACAGAGCATGCAGTTAGTTAAAAGAGGGACAGAAATTAGAACTTCTGCTATCACTGTTTAACACTTTGCCTCCTCCTGAAACAGCTGGTAGGGATCACAATTCTCCTTTTAACACACTCATCAAAAGTGCGTCTGCATCCAATGCAAACAAGCAGCGATAGTCCCGGTGAGTCATGGTGCGTATAAAACCGTTTCCCAGTTTCACTGATCTGCAAAGTGAATGCCAAGAAGAACTTAAAAAAAACAAAACAAATATGCACACCTCAACTATGCATTAATGTGATGATGACGTGCTTGTCATTGCACTGATAGGGGAAGCAGAAAGGCTGGCAAAGAGCCTGCACTGCTTTTCAGACCCTGTGGGGAAAACAGCGAGCGGTCCTTATCTTCCTCCAGAGCAAAAGCTGTCACCGGCAAACACCCGCTCTGAAACATTAAACAGATGTATTGGATGGGAGCAGTTGCAAATTTCTCAATTTAGTGGCTGCAGAAGGGCCAGAACAACTATCAGAAGAAGCTTTTTTATTCTTTCCTGATTTACATGCATCTCATTGCACTGTCCGGATAGTTCTTCTAAATGTAAGCCAGGTTTTTGGACCGTTTCAAAAACAGACCAGGCTTATCACATTATAACAATTGTCAAATCTCATAAATCTGTCCAGCCTCAGCATCACAGGGCAACACAGGTGTGTTCACAAACTTCACATGCAGCCTGACTCCGAGTCTCTGGGCTGTGTGTGTAAACTTCAGAGGTGTCAAGTTTGGATCTTTCTCTGAGATGAGCTCATCCTGCCCAGCATGCGAGCCGCACACATACATCACAAACCTGCCAATTCACACTCGGGGTGGCTGGATGGAAAGAGCGCTACCTGCACGCAACCCTTTCAAACAAGTTATTTTAAGCAGCGGTCTTCAGGGTAAAACTGAAATTCATCAAGCTACTGCCAGTCTGACAGGGAATGAACAGAAATAAGTTAGCTCAGGAGGCAAAAATATAAAACAAAGCGTTCCTTCAGTTTGATCGTCTTATTTAGACGTCACTCATCACACGTTGTGTAAAGGTCACACATCATTTCAAGCAACTGCTACACTGCTTTCAAGGCTTTAGGTAAAAGGTTTACTGCGCAACAATCTAAACATTAATATAGCAGATATATGAACTACATATAAGGGTGAGTAATGTCTTTCTATAAAAAGAGGGAAGTCAAACTCCATCCGTTGTATGTAGAGGCATATGGTGGAGTTTTGTCGCAAGGGTACAATTCAAGGAGAACCAATCAACTTCAAATAATTTAAAGAAATAAGAACCACATTAACTTAGGGCTGGCCATACATGTAAATTGAGAAGTTGTAGAAACAGCTGCAATTAGTCGGATCACTGAGGAGGCATTCGAGGGATCTTAGAAAGAAATTGGCCAATCTGATTTTTTTCTATTCCTAATATCGGTATCGGCCCTTAAAAATCCAATATCGGTCAGGCCCTAAACTTGAGTAATCCAAATATTGATTTTTAGAGCACACTCATGTTGGACTTGTCTTCTTGGTTACCTCAGTCAGTCGGAGAGAGTTTAGTATTTCAATCAGGAAGATTAAGTATTTCTTACACATGTATTTAAATTAGTTATTTTAATGATTCTATAAGCAGAATCCAACTGAACAGCAAACTACACTGATTCTTTAGACATATGTGTTGCTGTAGTGCTAAATGCTCTGTGAAGCACCTTTTAAGGAGTCAAATGCCATCAGTGATGATTTTAAATCAGATACAAACTGAAACATGTCTCACCATCTGTCATCATCACCTCAGCACCTGGCTGTCTGACCCGTGTGTAATGTTTGTTTCTTTGACTCATCTTCTACAGAGAATGACATCAGACCTACAAAACCACCCGACAGTTTCTACCCTGTTATTAGCAACGATGAGTCTTTACTGCTGCGGACGGACAAGACCCAACAGGTCCCTGCGCTGATGTAACGCTGTGCCTGTTCTCTAATTTCTGAGGTGGATTGTGGGATTTATTCAGACAGTAATGTTGGCCCCTTTGAGAAGGTGAGCTTGTAAACAGAGAAGCATGCAAGAAAGTACATGGTATTTATTTAACACCAAGACATGTGCTTAGATACTGAGAGAGTATTTAAGTGTTCTGCAGCATGCATTAGGAATGTGAGCATGTGTAGCGCTGCATAAAGACAAATCAGAGCCAAAGAGTCAAACAGGAAGCACCACTACAAGCAGACTGAGTAAACTGAGTGTTAGCACTGGCATTAATGGTATAATTAAGGACTTCAATGCTTCATGTTTACATGTAATTTGTAAGAGTTTGACTGTAGAGGTGAGTTTCAAACCTTCTAATCCTTACCACACTTCTTGTCCTTTCAGTCTTTAAATAGTATTAGACAGAGGCAAGCCTTCCCATTAAGGGCACCATCTACTCTGTGGGGGTGATTTAAGCCTGCTTCTGTAAATACTTACACATCGACCATAAAGCAGCATTAACTGGTTAGAGGGATGACAGCACGGAGAGCAGAAACTGGATCAAAGGTCAATGAGAATGAAATTGAAGCCATCTCTGCCGCCACACTGCAAACCTTGACAAAGTGGTGAAATGGATCCGTCCCTGGAAGCCTAACGCCATTAAGGAGAGCATTCCAGGAAACTAAACTGACATCCACATGGGTTTCAAATACCATTACTGTACAAACATTTTTGGATTGAAAAAAAAATTAAAAGAAAGGCTCTAATGATGACATTATCATGCCAAAACATACCAAGAATGAAGGTAACAAATCAATGTTTTCTGGTGGTATATATTTGTATTGGTGATGTATGAAAGCTTTGCAGAAAATGTTGAACATGTGAAATTTGCAGATCAAGTAGAATAAACTAAAACTTTTTAATTGCAGTAATCTTGTATTGTACCAAGCTACTTTTTAAAGAAACATTATCCAACACTGCTGACGGGTATAATGTAGAAAATCAATCATTCAGAATGTAAATATAATAATAATAATAACAGAGCCACACCTCTCCACTAATCATCTCCCCAGATGTTCAGTCAGCCACACTCTGAGTGGATGCATTTTCAGGCTGGACAGGCTCACATGTGCAGCCAGTCAGTGGGTCATAATTAGATAAACACTTCCAGACAGTCTGTGTTTGCCCTTGAAATGACCTTGAGTTTCTCAGAGGCATCCCGACAGGTCTGCTAGGAGAGGAGAGCTCAGTGGCTGCTTCAACCTTCCTGGTCAGAAAAACCTTTGAGATAAGAAAGAACACTGAGAAAGAGGGAGAGAGATAAGTATTAGCAGGGCTTGTCTCTGCTCTAGACTCTTTCACAGCCATCCCAGAAATAAAGTCCAGATTTATGACGTCCCATAGGAAAAATATCCGTCTAGTCTGGCAAGAGAGCAACGGAGGGATCCTGTGTGCACGGCCGTGTCGTCTCTGCAGACACATAACAGAGCAGGAGCCTCTGCAGCACGGTCATAAATTCAAATGGGTGGGGGGTAGAGAATGAAAGGTAAAGATATTCATATGCACACATAAAGGGAGTTGGAGGGAGGAAATCTGAGGATTAAACTCCATTTGCAATGTTGTTTGATGTCTTTTACAAGGCATGATTGGATTTTAGTATGAAGCAAACAGATTCTATATGTGGCCTTTGACCTTCAAAAGGGTACACAGAGGTTGTGTTGAGAAACAAAATGTTCTTGAAAGAATGTCAGTGAAAACTTTGTGGATTCAATATGTAGGTCTGTCTTTTAACAAGAAACTGAACACAGAATTTGATCCAACAGAATCCAGCCCTTTCCAATTCCTTTGGAAATCTATTAAGAATGGAACGAACAATATGAGATTTTTGGGGCCAATATCGATATTAGGGAGAGCAACAATCTGATACTGACATATTGTCCAACATCTTTCTTAGATCTATAGAGATGGATAGCTAGATATAGATAAACACATGTATTGTGTTGATCCCTCAAGTGCAGTT